ATATTTATATTTCTTTGAAAATCATACAGACTTTAAAATAATGTTTTTCTATAAACATTTAAAGGTATTACTTTTTGTTTTTTAACGATTTCCCATCACATTTTAATTGCCCAACTCGAAGTTCAAAGCAAGGGAATATTAGAAATTCTTGAAAATTCTGGAAACCTGGAAGTAGAAATGCCAAAATGTGGGCGCAGCACTTGGCTGCTGTCAATCAAAGTTGCATTTTTGTTTTCAATTTTCCGTGGCCCCCCACTCTCTTTAACCATTTCACCATTTACCCACCTCGAGTGGAAAGCGGTGGGGCCAAACCGGAAAAGCGTGTGTTAATAGGAAAACTTCAAAAGCCGAAAGGGGTGGAAAAACATACCGTATTGCATTTGCAGTCGTTGTCACAGCAAGGCATTAATTATGCCATCAGCAAACCGACGACGACGACGACGACGACATCGCAGCGGACATATCCTGTTGACAGCCCCACGCCCCACCCGACCCCTCCATTTTCCAGCCCCTCCCCCTCCCCGACCCATTTTCCCAGGGGCGGGGGAAAGTTTTTCGCATGGCAACGGAAGTCACGTCGGAGTTTTTCCTCTGAAAATTCCCAGCACTCGCAATTATTTAATAATACTCGTACAAGTGCAGTGTAGCTTGATTAAAAAAAAATAAAAAAAACCCACATACACAAGAGGCTAAGGTGGGCGTTTAGATATGGCCTGAGTTGGAGGCGTGGCAATAATTAAGTTGCTGCATTGCAGAACGAGTGCCAAAATGAACCGAACACTGAGCGGCAAGAAAATAGTTCTATAGCAATGCCACTAGAGCAACTTTTGTGGCAGACCATAATTAAGAACATAATTAAGTGAAGAAGTAGCTTTTGCAGGAAGGAATTAAGTTGAGAAACAATTGAATTGATAAATAAACGACAAATTGTAAATGTTTTTCCTAATCAAATCCATTTATTAGCACGTAGCCTTGCTGACTAGTGTATTCCAAAGAGCCTTTGCCATTAGCGTATTTAAAAAAAAAAGAGGGAAAGAGGAATAGTGTAGCCCGCCTTTGGTACAAAATATTTAGCTGTATAAAAATAAAATATACCGTTTTCAAATGGGGAAAACTCACCGAGAGGTGTATCTATGAGATGTCCCCGCTGACAAATAGAAAATTCCATGCAAGTGTAAAAATAAACTTGGGGGCAATGTTAGCTTTTCGTCGCTGAGGAATTTTCCCCCCCACCCCGCCACCGCCAGGAGATAAGAAAAGTCGTTCCCATAAATGTCAATTAATTTATGTGCGTTCTGTGGCAACTAGACATTTGCCTGGCCAACTAAGATTGAAGTTCGGCCAAATGGAAAGTGGAATCAGCTTCGCTATCGGGAAATGTAAGCTGCAAAGTGGGCATGGGGTAAATGGAAATGTGGAAATGTGAAAAACTTCTGCGGCTGCGACTGCGACTGCGTTGGCGGCCTTTGGCGACGCTGTCGGCGTTCTGGGCGATTAGTTGTCTTAAAAATAGACTCAGACATGCGGAAGATACAACGCACAGATTCTTTGCACTCGAAGAGCAAAGCACCAAATTATTAAATACACAAACATTGCACAGCAGCACTTTCACCATATTTTCTATCTAATTTAGCAATTGTCGCTTACGCATTGCATAGGCACTTCCACAATTCAAAAAGAGGATGTGAGCTATTTGGTTAGCTTAAAGCTAGTACCGAAAATATGTATAGAAAACACTTTATTCGTACGAGTTGGAAGCGAAATCATTTTTCGCGCAGTGCACTCGGTTGTCAGGCGACATCTTCATCTCTCCGCGTCTCATCCATCCAATGCCACCCACTCATTCCCACCTCCTCAAAGTGTCGGCTCTTTTCGGTTCTGTCTGGCTGTCTGGCTGTCTGTCTAAATATATTTCCCACTAATCCGACACGAAAACTATTTCGATGTTAATATTCTTCTTCCGCCACTCCGCCACAGTGCTATGCGATCAGAATCCGATCCGATACTAGACAGTAATGCCAGGCATCCAAATTTCTCGCTTCTGCTCCTTTTTATATATTCGTTTAGCTCGACAATTGGGATTAAAATGTTAGGAACCTATATGGTATGGTTCCTAGTTTTCTATACCAGCAGAAGAAGGAATGCCGCCCACGTCTAAAAAGAACCAAACTTCCTGATCTCACATGGGGACACCCGTGAAAAATTCGACCCATTTGAGGCCTCAACTGCCTTTTAGCCGACTGGCGATAATTTGTCCGCCAGCTATACCGCAACGCCACTCATATTTGCACAGTCAGCCCAAGGGTCTTGGTCTCGGTCTGGGTTCCTCTGGGTTCTGCAGTTCTTTCCTTAGTGCATCTCGCTGCAGTCGAACGGAGGTATGGTGTATATGGGTAGACATATCTCAAATATCTGCTTTCCTGAACGTATCGTGCCGGGCCAATTTTCATGCAGTCATTCCTCATTCATTAAAACGTCGCATGGCGTCCGCAGAAGAAGAAAAGAAAGACGGCCAAGAAGCAGCGGCAGCTGAAGAAACCGAAGAAACCAGCGAGAAGAAACCAAAGATGAGGCAGCCAGGGCAGTCGGCAGCTGGGGGACTCTTTTGGCATGGCATTAACCCGTAGAACTCCTTTCACTTTACATTCTAATTCCAAAAGTTCCAGCATTCGCATACCAAGACCTTGTTACCTTGGCCAGGGGCGCGGCGGGGGAGGCCGGCATTCTTTGCTCTGGCTCTGGCTATGGCTATGGCTCCGGCTCCGGCGAAACCTGAATGCCCGATGAATGCTAATGCTAATACCTCGTACCTGGCCAATTTTCCCCTCGGGCGGCCTATAAAGTGTGCCCCTGTGTGTGTGTGTGTGTGTGTGTATGCAGCGCACACGGTGCAAAAAATTATGAGTATCGCCAAAATCGCTAACTTCATGTTTTCCGCGTCAAAATGGCTGTTATAGGTGGCAAAACGACATGGAAATGCGTGTGGTATGTCCAGTAGCTGGTAAACTTACCAATTTTATGTTTCGGTATAAACAAATAATTTATTTCAAAATGTCTTACAATTATTTCTTTCTGTGCGCTGCCAAAAAGAATTGCCGGCTAAAAACCCAAGCTATTGATCGGAGTTCGAAAAGCGGCCAAATCGATGGCACAAATAAAATATTTAATTGCCCCCAAGCATTATGCATTATTAAGCAACTGGGAAGCGTGGATGAAACATATACATATAAACAATGGCACTCTCTGCAGCTAATTGCTTGCGCCTGGAAAATGTATTTTCGTTTCGTGAAAATGGAGCTAGTGCAAAACGTGAAACAACCAACTGCCGACAAATGTATCTGCATCTGAACTCAGCAACTAGATGTCACCTTTCGACAGATACGTTTGATACGACCAAATATACAAAAGCAATATAGATAACCTGCGGGTCCAAAAGGCCGTTGACAGGTGTAACTGGGTGCTGCATATATAAACCTGTTAAATGTTCGATAAGGGCCATAGGTGGTAGGGATTTCAAAATGTGCTGGACATAGATATGATCGGGGGCAGTGCTATAAATATTAACGAAAAGGCTCAAAACTGATAGACAGGCCCAATGGCTGCGCCACTCGAAGTATTTCGCTGCCAAAAAGCGATTAATCATCTCCGCCGTCTGTTTAGAACACAACAATAACAAGAGATTAATACAGCCGATGTCTGAGGCTGATTTTGATTCTGATTTTGGTTCATATTCAAGCTTCGAGGCTGTGGGAAAGACCACAAAGGAGTACCCGTACACGAAGAGAAAAAAGGTAGCTAAGCAAAATATCGAAATATAATAAATCATTTCATGTTCTTCAATACAACTCGTATCTCATTGCTGAGCTTACAATGTAAATGCAAATAGATTCTCAATTCTATCACAAACTTTACTTGATGGGTTTCTCAGTGCTTTATTTGGCAAGTGGAGCCGCTGAAGGGGCCACCGGCTCATCTGGAGTGCCACTTGCCACTTGCCACAAATTCCCTTAATCATCGCCTGGTGTAATAAATCTAATTTCCCCCAGAGCAGCCAGCAATCGATCGATCTACATATGCGGACACAAAAACCAATCAACTTACTGGCCATATCTCCACTCCATCCCACAGCACTTCAGTTCGCATTCAATGGCTTTGAATAAACAAGCTGAACAGAAAACGAGCGACAAGACTTGCTGGCTGGATAGTGCTGCAAATACAAGGAGTTATTGAACTCGGGGTTACACAAAATGTAAGCAAATTTCATATTTAGTATAAAATGGCAATCTGATTTTTGGCAAGCGGATGTGATCGGCAGATAGCAAAGCCCCCGGGGTCCCTGATCTCCAAAACTTGCCCAATGCCACGGCTATTAGGGCGGGGAAAAGCGTAAGAAAAACAGACAATACCAGCCAATTACCAGCGATAACACAAATATTTCTGTAACAACCAGTTCTCGAGCTGAGTTTTCAGTTTCAGTTTCGATTTCGTCAGTCGGCCAGAAATTAGCACGTAACTTTGGGCTGGACCCCACCCCAAAAAAAGAAAAAAAAAAAAAATAGAAACAAAAAAAACCGAAAACCCATTGGCACTAAGTCATAAAAATAACAATGAACAAGACACAAGACACGGCCCAGAAATGTACAACAATTTTTATTATATCTTTACTTTTTTGGGGCTCTTTGGCTTTTGTTTTGTGGCTGTCATGCTCATTGAGCACGCTTTTTGCTTTTTACTTCTGCCCTGGTAGCCGGGCTTCACTGTGCGGATTGTGCGTGCCCCTACTTACCGGCGATTTGTTGACATTAGGTCTTAAAATTTATTAGTTCTTATTGTCAATGGTCGGTGTAGGTTTTATGTATTTCGATTTTTTTTTTTTTTGGGCGGGGGGAAGCAAGCCGTGGGCGTGGCCAATGGGATTTCGGTTGCCTAATGTCTCGATCACAATCGAATCGTATCGATTCAAGCGGAATGCAATGCCGTAACAATTAAACTAGTCTCAATTAAAAGTGATCGCTCTTTATTACGCCAACTTATTTTGTTGTGTTCCGTTATAGAATATCAACGAATTATCAATATCAACGATTCCCAGTTTGCAATAGATGTATATTTCTTAAATATTGAAGCCAAATCATTCAAATATTAACGAGTCACCGCAGCATAAGTCCAATAATTTATTCATCATTCTGCTCGTCCAAGGTCGAATTAGTTGGGCTCCGGAAGTGGCGGGAAGTTTATGTGAACAGCGGGAGCGATGCTGATGGCCAGGAACGCGGCAATCGGAACTCAGAACTCGGAACCCAGATCTCAAGACCTGGACAGATACTACGCCTACTTCTCGCCCGAAAGGGCCACGGCGGTGAGGAAGTAGAAGCCCGACCAACTTAAGTAGGTCACCGGCTCCCCGCTGCCCTCGTTGATCTGCTCCTCAAAGAATTTGGCCCCGAACTTGGCCATGAAGGCCAGGAAGGCCATGCCGCCCATGTTCCAATTGTTCTCATTGATCGCCAGATACAACAGCGATGTGATGTTACCCAAAATGGTGAGGGTCTTCAGTGTGTCGAGGGCACTTCCCTCGCCCTCGCCACCGCTCTCGCCCTTGAAAAAGGCCAGGATCACGCTGACGGCCAGCGGCACAATGAAGAGTCCATGGCCCAGGGCAATGTTGTTGCTCTCGGTGGCCAGATAGAGATTCACATTGACCAGCGGCAGCGGTATGATCTCCATGATCGCAGTGGTCGTCTCCGTGACCTTCTTGGCATTCTCGTTGTCGGTCAAACCGCTCACCAAGCCGAAGAGTCCGTGGCAGAAACCAAAAACGCAGGCTGTGAAGGCATACGGGTGTTCACTGGGTCCAATCTTGTAGAAACCGAAACCGGTGGCACCGCAGAGAATAACATTGAGCACACAGCTCACGGCCGAGTTGTCGGACATCCTGATGTTATGTCACTAGAAGGTCTATATCGACTTGGAATTGCTTCGGTGCTAGAATGCGCCAAGAGGTTTCTGAGTTTCCAATCAACTTCATACTTGAAGGATTATATCAGTGCTATAGACTTACATGTGGAGACGCAAAGTCCTGCTTTCTTGCTTTGTGCTTCTTGCTGTCCAAGCAAGTTGAGGAATCGCTGCTAGCTCGGTGGTTTCGTTTGATTATGCTGTGCAACGCAATTTTATCGAAAGGGAACTCAAAAACTTATAAGGAAGGGACAGGTTAAAATTTACAATTTGAATTTGTTCTGGTTTTACGAATAGAGTGCTTCAGTTTGACTCGAGAATGTGTCGACCGAAACGTTGAACGAGCTGTGTGATAATGCTCTACACGGAGCACTGACAAATCTGGTGAGCCCAAAGGTAAAGTCAATGCCTGCTGCCAATTTACAAAAATCTTCACTATATTTTCGGGAAAGTACCAAAATCTAAGCACTTTATTGCTTGTGGATTGTCCATTATGTACGGAAATGTGTTATATAGAAGGGCTAGAATGGAAAGCAATTAATTTCAGCATATGTGAAGCTATTAGACAGTCAACGAAACAAGTTTTTACCAAAGTTGGCATTGAAAACCCTCTTCAAAGTGGTTGCAAATTACAAATTATTGAACAAAACGTATTCGAAAAGTATTTAGTGCATATATTTTATTTCACTTCGCTAGTGCATTGCTTTTATTTAAATTGATCATGTTTGGGGACAAGCAGAAGAAAACTAAGGGCAATAAAGGGCAGCAGGAGGAGGAAAAGAAGAGAGAACAGAAGAAAGAACAGAAGGAAGAACAGAAGGAAGAGGTCAAGGATGTGTTGGAGGGCTTGAACAAATTGCTGACCCCCAACTGGTATTGGAGTCGTTATATAAATCAACAGATCGTTCCGAGCTCAGTGACCCGCAGTTTGGTGCAGGTCGCCGATCCCCAGACGTCATCGCCGATTTCCAATAGCTCAAAACTATATATTTTGGAATGCAGTGGCTCTGAAATCGTCGCTTCGGCCAGTGGCCAGAAAATCACATGTCCACCGCCGCCAATAATGTATCACAACCGAATGGATCCCGATTTCGCTGACATTTTGACCATCGCGCGTCAAAGTCGCCTACGAAATATAGGCAGTGCCTTTAGCATCGACGAAATCCAGCCTCCATCTACGTCCGCCAAGGACGAAAGCGAGGATTCAAAGGATTCCGAGCCAAAGCCACCTGTCTTGGATCCCATTTTCAAAGCCGGGCGCACCTCACGCGACTTTGAGGTGATTTGGAAGCCGATAAGCGCCAAAGTGAACGTATCCTGTGCCGAGAACATTGTAAAGAAGGCCAAAAGGCGGATGAGTAAGTTCCGCCACTGCCCAAGTTTAATCACAGGATCATTAACTAATCAGGTAATAATCAGGCAATAATGAGATCGTGTGGGAGGCGACAAAGATGTGCTGGCACGACGACCTGGAGATCCAGATAGAGTCAAGGTTCTACTTCGTGAACCGCTTTCTGTTCACATACTTTGCACGCAATTTCCGCGACTTTTCGAGTCCCTTCTTGCAAATGCCAGTGCAAAAAGTCCAAATGGCCCTGGTAGTTCGCATCTACGAATGGATGCTGGAGGAGCAGAAAAGCTTCTCCATTGGCAAGGATCTGATACCCATCTTCGCGGCAGCCAAGTGGCTGGGCGTCAAGGAACTGATGGAGCAGTACTGGGGCACCTTTTCGATGAAGGGAGATGGCGGCATTTGGGAGATTAACGCCTTCCACACCTACCTCATGGCCAGGGATTTCCGGTGCCCGGAGATTATGGTTATAATGCAGGCACGGCTGCGTAAGTGCTTTCTGCCCATTGTGGCATCCTGGGAGTTCCTCGAGTTCGATGCCAATGAAGTGTCCTCTGTGCTGAGCCAGGACATGCTCTGTGTCAACAGCGAGGACGAGGTCTTCTTCGCCGCCTTCTACTGGTTGGACTTCGCCTGGGCGGAGCGCAAGCAGTACGCTGTCCAGGTGATGAAAAGCGTGCGCTTTGGACTCGTGTCACCCTGGTTGCGCCGATCCATTTGCAACAGGCCGGAAAACGAGCGCATCGGTGAGATTGGCCAGATGCCAGAGGTGAGCATCGCAGCAGGCAACTGATTGCCATTCTAAAGCGCTACATTTATTGGGATTACAGATTAGCCACTGCATCTGGGAGGGCACAATTTTGTGTCAGGCGATCATTGCCAATGAGCAGCGGAAAAGTCAAAAGGGAAAGCCCGTCATGGAAATGCTAAAAGAGTTCGAGCACAAAAAGATCACGGAGCGGTATTGGGTGTACTGCGAGGGCGTTCCGCACCATCATGATTATAAATGCGCACGTTATCGAGAGTTGACCTTCGAGAGCTTTAAGAGGTTCCTACATCGCCTGCACTCGCACTCAGATATCTTTATGGATAGCTTGAAGTTTGTGCCGAACAAGAATTGGAATACCTATCGCTGCTGCATCGACTTGAAGTTTCGTCCTTATTGCGAACGCAGCTGTCCCAAGGTGCCCTTCTACGTCAAGAATCTGAACTTCAATAAGTGGGAAATGCCTGGATAATATATTACTTATAGGAATTCAATGTATTAAAATATATAACAATTATATAGGTTAATAAATTACTGGGGCATCTATGCATATATCCAAGCTGCAGTTTTCAAAATGCTCGTGCTATTTTAATGCTCGTTTCCAATATTCATTCAACATTCAAAAGTCACTATCCTCAGAGTCCGTGGTGATCACGCTAGAGCTGTCCTCCATGTTCTCATCAAATCCGGCAAACTGGCGCCCGATTCCAAACCTTTGATCCGGATTGTTATTGGCATTGGCAGGTGCCTCGCCGATCTGTCCACCCAAATACATCCTTATGTTCTCATCGGTGTAGTTCACAATGCGACGACCCCGGCGGCGCACATATAGCTTCTGCTTGAGGTAGATCTTCAGCAGTCCCTTAATCCCGATATAGGCCATTCCGCCGATGATGGTGCGGTGCAGTGGATCCTCTATGTTCCTGAAGAACACGTTTCCCACCGCGGTGGCGGCGGTCGGCAGGAAAAAGGCACCGCAAATGAGTCGAGAGATGTAGCCGGGTTCGGAGATGGACGGATTATGATGGATCAGTGGCAAACTGTTGGAACTATCGCTCAAGGCACCCAAGTCTCCTGCTCCAGCTTCCGGCTCCCCGGCCCAGTGGAAAAAGGGCAGCTTGCGCAGAATATTATATCTGCTGCGCATGACCATCAAGACGGCATCCTCCCAGCGCACCAGTCGGAATAGGATCAAACCCACCGGAATGAAGGGTAGACCCACCAACAGGAAGATCATATTCTCCATCAGCCTGACGCCGCGATCTTGACCCATCACCTGAAAGACAGTGACGGCTCCGTACGTGATGGCAGTCCAGTAAACCAAGCACAGGATCATTCCGAGTGCCAAATAGGGGCAGATTCGCCTCACGGCGATATCCCCCTTCTCCAGCATCACGGCCAGGGGATTCATTCGGGGAAAGACGATAACATACTCAGTTTGGCATTGCTGGCAAACCACCGACCGCCGGTGGTTACCCTGCTGCTTCTCGTCGATCCAGCGGTACAGACAGCTCTGGTGAACCCACTTGGTGGCACCGCGGCACTGGCACGGATGCACCCACTTGGCCCGCCGGTTGTCCTCGCGTGTTGCGAAACATATCCAGCATGCGCGCTCCACATCCGCCGTCTGCTGCTCGGGATTCGATCCGCCGCTGCCACGTCTCTGCGCATGATTTGAACCATGGATGTCAGGGTCATGGGCGTATTGCCGTTCCGCCGGCGAATCTACTTGACCAGCACCTGGCTGGTTGTACACCTCCAGATCTGATTGCATCTCAAAGCCAAAACAATGCCAGCAAACGGGATTGAAAGATAGTCCAAAGAATGCAGTTAACGAACAAGCGTAGAGACAACGAATTTTGTATGTGAGAAAGTTGTAACGACACTAACAGCTCAACTCGAGCTGACTAGATGGAATGAACTAAATGGCACAGGCAACATGATCGGGGTGAGCCGACTCTAAAATCAAATGAATATTAATATTATATAATCCTCGGTCTGATCAATTTTTTAATTTTTAAAATTTTTTTTTTAATTTTTGCTGAGGTATGTGTTGTAGAAATTCAAAAAAATTAAGAAATGTCCAAAGGCTGAAGTTCAAAACTCCATAACTCAACTTAACTTAATCGGATTTTGAAGTGGCATACCTCTAAATGTTTCTGGCGCAATTCTCTAAAAATCTGCATTCAAATTTAGAAATCCATTTTTTTTTTAATTTTTTTGTAATTTTCCTGATGTATGTGTTGTAGAAATACAAAAAATTAAGAAATGTCCAAAAGCTGAAGTTCTAAACACCATAACTCAACTTATCTGCATCGGATTGTGAAGTGGCATACCTCTAAATATTTCTGACGCAATTCTCTAAAAATCTGCATTCAAATTTAGAATTTTATTTTTTTTTCAATTTTTTGTAATTTTTTCTGATGTTATATGAGTGGAAATTCAAAAATGTCCCAAGACTGAAGTTCTAAACTCCATAACTCAACTTATCTGCATCGGATTTTGAAGTGGCATACCTCTAAATGTTTCTGGAGCAATTCTCTAAAAATCTGCATTTAAATTTAGAAATCCTTTTTTTTTTTAAATTTTTGTAATTTTTTCTGATGTTATATGAGTGGAAATTCAAAAATGTCCCAAGACTGAAGTTCTAAACTCCATAACTCAACTTAACTTAATCGGATTTTGAAGTGGCATACCTCTAAATGTTTCTGGCGCTATTCTCTAAAAATCTGCATTCAAATTTAGAAATCCATTTTTTTTTAAATTTTTTTGTAATTTTCCTGATGTATGTGTTGTAGAAATACAAAAAATTGAGAAATGTCCAAAAGCTGAAGTTCTAAACTCCATAACTCAACTTATCTGCATCGGATTTTGAAGTGGCATACCTCTAAATATTTCTGACGCAATTCTCTAAAAATCTGCATTCAAATTTAGAATTTTATTTTTTTTTCAATTTTTTGTAATTTTTTCTGATGTTATATGAGTGGAAATTCAAAAATGTCCCAAGACTGAAGTTCTAAACTCCATAACTCAACTTATCTGCATCGGATTTTGAAGTGGCATACCTCTAAATGTTTCTGGAGCAATTCTCTAAAAATCTGCATTTAAATTTAGAAATCCATTTTTTTTTTAAATTTTTGTAATTTTGCTGAGGTATGTGTTGTAGAAATTCAAAAAAATTAAGAAATGTCCAAAGGCTGAAGTTCCAAACTCCATAACTCAACTTATCTGCATCGGATTTTGAAGTGGCATACCTCTAAATGTTTCTGGCGCAATTCTCTGAAAATCTGCATTCAAATTTAGAATTTTATTTTTTTTTCAATTTTTTGTAATTTTTTCTGATGTTATATGAGTGGAAATTCAAAAATGTCCCAAGACTGAAGTTCTAAACTCCATAACTCAACTTAACTTAATCGGATTTTGAAGTGGCATACCTCTAAATGTTTCTGGCGCTATTCTCTAAAAATCTGCATTCAAATTTAGAAATCCATTTTTTTTTAAATTTTTTTGTAATTTTCCTGATGTATGTGTTGTAGAAATACAAAAAATTGAGAAATGTCCAAAAGCTGAAGTTCTAAACTCCATAACTCAACTTATCTGCATCGGATTTTGAAGTGGCATACCTCTAAATATTTCTGACGCAATTCTCTAAAAATCTGCATTCAAATTTAGAATTTTATTTTTTTTTCAATTTTTTGTAATTTTTTCTGATGTTATATGAGTGGAAATTCAAAAATGTCCCAAGACTGAAGTTCTAAACTCCATAACTCAACTTATCTGCATCGGATTTTGAAGTGGCATACCTCTAAATGTTTCTGGAGCAATTCTCTAAAAATCTGCATTCAAATTTAGAAATCCATTTTTTTTTTAATTTTTTTGTAATTTTCCTGATGTATGTGTTGTAGAAATACAAAAAATTGAGAAATGTCCAAAAGCTGAAGTTCTAAACTCCATAACTCAACTTATCTGCATCGGATTTTGAAGTGGCATACCTCTAAATATTTCTGACGCAATTCTCTTAAAATCTGCATTCAAATTTAGAATTTTATTTTTTTTTCAATTTTTTGTAATTTTTTCTGATGTTATATGAGTGGAAATTCAAAAATGTCCCAAGACTGAAGTTCTAAACTCCATAACTCAACTTATCTGCATCGGATTTTGAAGTGGCATACCTCTAAATGTTTCTGGAGCAATTCTCTAAAAATCTGCATTTAAATTTAGAAATCCATTTTTTTTTTAAATTTTTGTAATTTTGCTGAGGTATGTGTTGTAGAAATTCAAAAAAATTAAGAAATGTCCAAAGGCTGAAGTTCCAAACTCCATAACTCAACTTATCTGCATCGGATTTTGAAGTGGCATACCTCTAAATGTTTCTGGCGCAATTCTCTGAAAATCTGCATTCAAATTTAGAATTTTATTTTTTTTTCAATTTTTTGTAATTTTTTCTGATGTTATATGAGTGGAAATTCAAAAATGTCCCAAGACTGAAGTTCTAAACTCCATAACTCAACTTAACTTAATCGGATTTTGAAGTGGCATACCTCTAAATGTTTCTGGCGCTATTCTCTAAAAATCTGCATTCAAATTTAGAAATCCATTTTTTTTTAAATTTTTTTGTAATTTTCCTGATGTATGTGTTGTAGAAATACAAAAAATTGAGAAATGTCCAAAAGCTGAAGTTCTAAACTCCATAACTCAACTTATCTGCATCGGATTTTGAAGTGGCATACCTCTAAATATTTCTGACGCAATTCTCTAAAAATCTGCATTCAAATTTAGAATTTTATTTTTTTTTCAATTTTTTGTAATTTTTTCTGATGTTATATGAGTGGAAATTCAAAAATGTCCCAAGACTGAAGTTCTAAACTCCATAACTCAACTTATCTGCATCGGATTTTGAAGTGGCATACCTCTAAATGTTTCTGGAGCAATTCTCTAAAAATCTGCATTCAAATTTAGAAATCCATTTTTTTTTTAATTTTTTTGTAATTTTCCTGATGTATGTGTTGTAGAAATACAAAAAATTGAGAAATGTCCAAAAGCTGAAGTTCTAAACTCCATAACTCAACTTATCTGCATCGGATTTTGAAGTGGCATACCTCTAAATATTTCTGACGCAATTCTCTTAAAATCTGCATTCAAATTTAGAATTTTATTTTTTTTTCAATTTTTTGTAATTTTTTCTGATGTTATATGAGTGGAAATTCAAAAATGTCCCAAGACTGAAGTTCTAAACTCCATAACTCAACTTATCTGCATCGGATTTTGAAGTGGCATACCTCTAAATGTTTCTGGAGCAATTCTCTAAAAATCTGCATTTAAATTTAGAAATCCATTTTTTTTTTTAAATTTTTGTAATTTTGCTGAGGTATGTGTTGTAGAAATGCATAAAAATTAAGAAATGTCCAAAGGCTGAAGTTCCAAACTCCATAACTCAACTTATCTGCATCGGATTTTGAAGTGGCATACCTCTAAATATTTCTGACGCAATTCTCTAAAAATCTGCATTCAAATTTAGAATTTTATTTTTTTTTCAATTTTTTGTAATTTTTTCTGATGTTATATGAGTGGAAATTCAAAAATGTACCAAGACTGAAGTTCTAAAGTCCATAACTCAACTTTTCTTAATCGGATTTTGAAGTGGTATACCTCTAAATGTTTCTGGAGCAATTCTCTAAAAATCTGCATTCAAATTTAGAATTTTATTTTTTTTTCAATTTTTTGTAATTTTTTCTGATGTTATATGAGTGGAAATTCAAAAATGTCCCAAGACTGAAGTTCTAAACTCCATAACTCAACTTAACTTAATCGGATTTTGAAGTGGCATACCTCTAAATGTTTCTGGCGCAATTCTCTGAAAATCTGCATTCAAATTTAGAATTTTATTTTTTTTTTCAATTTTTTGTAATTTTTTCTGATGTTATATGAGTGGAAATTCAAAAATGTCCCAAGACTGAAGTTCTAAACTCCATAACTCAACTTAACTTAATCGGATTTTGAAGTGGCATACCTCTAAATGTTTCTGGCGCTATTCTCTAAAAATCTGCATTCAAATTTAGAAATCCATTTTTTTTTAAATTTTTTTGTAATTTTCCTGATGTATGTGTTGTAGAAATACAAAAAATTGAGAAATGTCCAAAAGCTGAAGTTCTAAACTCCATAACTCAACTTATCTGCATCGGATTTTGAAGTGGCATACCTCTAAATATTTCTGGAACAATTCTCCAAAAATCTGCATTCAAATTTAGAATTTTGTTTTTTTTTTAATTTTTTTTTAATTTTTTTGTAATTTTTCTGATGTTATAATGTGTGGAAATTCAAAAATGTCCCATGACTGAAGTTCTAAAGTCCATAACTCAGCTGATCCTAATCGGAATTTGATGTGGCATACCTCTAAATTTTTCTGACACAACTCTCTAAAAATCTCCATTTAAATTTAGAAATTCATTTTTTTTTTTGTAGTTGTACCCGTTACTTGTAAAGTAAAAGGGTATACTAGATTCGTTGAGAAGTATGTAACAGGCAGAAGGAAGCGTTTATTCTATATTCTACTATGTCACTATGCATAAAAGCTTCTTTTAGAGTCTGTAGCGTTGTGTCATAAAAAACATGGCCGTTGTTATGAATTTGCTTACTTTGGCGTACTGTGTTGCCTACTTTCCCTAAGCCTTAAAAAGGTGTTGCATACGTTTGGGGGCCACCAAGTAGTACTTATGAATACTGCCCAAAAACTTGCTTTAAATTTGCAAAGGTTGAAATTATAAAGTCTAATTCTTTTTTATTTGTTCGATATTTCTTCGATTCACATATGAATAGGTTTTATTCTTTGTGTGAGTGTGTGTGTTTGTCATTTCCGTTCCGTTCCTTTTCGTTTCGCATACGTTTCGGCCGCTCGTCACCGGCTCGAACTGCTCTCAAATATCACAACTGTTAATAATAAGCGACTTCAAAAGTTGCGCAAAAAAAATCTCTTCAATATAGATACAAAAAAAAGCACTATTGATAGCAAAAAAAGCCCGCTTGCGCTTTCCTCAGCAGTTCGGGCATTTTACCAGCCCGACTTCATCGCAGTTCATGCATTTTAAGGCCACGAACTCCGCCGTAAAGTGGTTCCGGTGCACCGACTTCTTGGATCCGCTGCACGAGGGGCACGGCAGCAGGCGATATCCGCCGCACGTCTGGCACGTAAACGCAGTGGCGATCGACTGTAAACGGAGTATTATTAACTGATTAGGGAACATATTAGGGAACGCCAACTTGCAACTTACTTTGTACGGTTTCAGCAGCTGTCGTAGCTCGCCACTTTCATTCAGTCGCTCCACGACGTCGGCATCCTGCAGATGAGTTCGTTTTATATTGATTTGCATTCAGGAATATGCTTTTATAGTTACCCCGATGTGCTGACCCTCGACGAAGAGCTGTGGCACCCGGATGGTCTCGTCGTGCATCCTTTCACGCATTTCCTGCTGGTATTCCACGCTCATAAAAATGTCCCTCTCCTCGAATTTGATTAGTAGTGTGCGCAGAATCTGTTTGACATTGGCACACTTGGCGTATGTGTCCCTGATGATTCCCATGCTCGTGGTGTACAAAACCACCTTGCCCAGGTCCTTCTCCATGTAGTTCTGCAATTAGTTTTCAATCAGTTCACATAGCAAAAAACAGGAATAACCCAAAACACATAACTCAATGCTTGGATGTTAATTGATTGGGTATTTCAGATATGACAGAAATGAGCTAAAGAAAATTTGAATGTTTGCACCAAAGTAAATCAAGTGATGAGAATACCTATCCGGCCAGTTTCAAGCATCACGAAAGCTATTATTATTCATTCATTTTATTCATGAGCTCGACTGCTGATTCACACCCGAAAATAAGTTGTCTGTTACAAAAGCCAACTTGAAGCTAGGCCAATGAATCGAGGGCATCTTCGGCCAGCTACATCGTTTTTGTCTTTAACCTTCCCCCCACGGAGCCGCAAAATGGTAACAGCCTTGGCCAAAACACTTGAGCCACATGGAGAATTGTGGTTACAAATCGCCCGCTAATTGGCGAGCAAAAATACTTGTTAAACGAAACGGAGCCAGTTTCTTTGCCATACTGATTAGCGGATCCCACTTAAAACCTGGAATAGAGAGTTCTTTCAGACGCGTTCTTTCAGTGCCATCCATTATAATTCGCTGATACAGATGGGATACTGACTGGCGGCACTCACAACGGATCCAATTGAAAATTACGCATAGCCAATTTGTGTAAATGGCAAATGAATGTCCGAAGTGAAAACTTGGCACAATGCGAAACATTTTTACTCGATTTGGCCGACAAGTTTGTTTTTTATTCGCGATTGGTAATGGGGGGCTGCTCTTCCGTTAGTCAGCCTGATTAACTAGATTTTCATCGACGAAGACAGTCGATACCTTAAACCCGATCGAATTTCCCGAGGCGACTCGTTTCCTCAGTGAGTTGTCGAATTTTGCAATGATTAATGGGTATAAGAAACATAAATTAATAGAGCAGGACATTTGGCAAGTAAACAGAGAGTTATGATGGTGAAATGTGATCTGAACATGAGAAATGGTATCAAATTAATTGCAACTGTCGCTTTTAAAGCAATCTCTCAAGGGAATTTGATTTAATTAATAACAAATGCAGGCTATTTATTTCACTCTTTATGATCAATGATTATCGAAATTTTAGAGGCGGGTTGGGACTCTGAAGCTAGTACACATTTGAAATTTTATTTTAGAAAGGCTAACAAATTTAAGTGAGCTTAGTGTGAGTCTTGATTGTATCAAACTGCTGGAAGTATGAGATGTGAGCTAATAAAAACTGCACGGTAGCAAACCCGTCGACACTTTTATGCCTTTTTCGAACTGCATCGGCGCATTGCACTTGCATAAGCTGCAAGTCCACGTCGAATTTCCAGTCCCCTGCCACTTGATCGCAGGTCCATGGAACGCAGTCGCAAAATCGCCTCAGGTGGCGGTTATTTAATATATGGCATATAATATCCAAACATAACGCCGCTCGGGAGAGGCATAAACAAATGTTAAGCTGGTAAACTGGTACATTAATAGTGGCCATTTGCTGTTTAACGTCATTTGTCGCACCGCCGACGAGAGTTCAAAGCCATTGAGTGTAATGAACATGTCCATGAGAATAAAAGCAAGAGATACCCAACGAAATGGCTATGAATATGAATGAGGCTGTGAACCGCGGGCCAAATCACTTCAAACTCCAAGCTGGCCATTCATAGCGCACAAGTATGAATGCGAATGAAAACAAGGCTGTGAACTGTGAACCGCAGGCCAAATGACAACTCAAAAATCTGCCCATCTTCTGCAGAACTCCAAGCACTCAAAAAAAAAGAAAAAAACCAGCATCTTCAGCAGTTTTTTAAGAGCAGCTAAAGAGAAAGCAGGTCAGTTGTTCAGTGATAAAGGAGGGGTTTTGGTCAATCTCTAGCTTTTGATCTGGCACTCAAAGGAGCCCCAAAAGATGTGCCCTCAAAAAAAAAGAAAAAGAAAAAAAATCTCAATTAATACGTCACACTGCGTTGCATAACCCTTTTCTCAGACCTTCGGGCGGCCAGAAAGTGAGTATTTCGATGGCAATCGATGGATTTTTGCTTTTTACATTTCGCTTAACAGCGCCAGACACATTTCTGTACAAAACTCATGGGAAAATTTCGCTTTTGCACAGCATCGATCTATTCATTATAATTTTAAAGTAATCCCAAAGCTCAACGAAGGCACTTGTCTTATGGCATCGAATTGGGGGCCGTCGACTTTTTGCGGTTAGGGTACCGCCATGATCTGTCTACAAATCGGTTCTCACACCCAGCTATACAGATATATATATATATATATATATATATAACATATATAACTATATGCTGTCATCGCCCTGCACACCAAAGCCCCTTTTCTTTTTGCATAAATTTACACACGCACGCGGGCCGAGTGGAAACATTTCACTTTCGTTTGGTTGGGTTTTTTGTATTCAGTTTCCAGGCTGTGGTATGTTTTGTAGTTATTTTTCTGCCATGCCCTGAACGAGCTTCAATTTGGCAATAATTGGAAACCCTAATAAGCCCATTTCGGCGGCTCTCGCGGCTCTCGTGGCTTTCTTTTGGCCCTGAATGCAAATTGAAATTGAAATGCAGCTAACGCCCCACGAGCTTCAGTTGCCTAATTGCTCGAAATATGTCTTTATTTATTGTACTCTCGTACGATGTAAAAGATCGTCCAATATATGGTATAAATCTGAAACTCAGTCACGTATGTTTTCGTATTCGTTTTCATTTTCATTTTCACTTTCGTTTGAAGGCGAATAGAAATATTCATTGCAACTCAAATGAAAAAGTTTTTCTCTCAACGGGCTTGTTTTGTTTGCAAGTGGATTTTAAAAAATGTAGGCAATATTTGTTTTGGATATATATAGTAACATAACTATTTTCACAATTCCCAAATACTTGCTGACAAAATGTGTCTTTTGATCGCATTTTTATGCTTGCTATTTATGACCTGAAATTGCTCCATTGTCTCTTTAAGTGCATAAAGTTCGTTTGTTTAATTGGGAGCAGTTAAAACGTTTTTCTTCAATTTAAATATGAGAATTAGTAGTAAGGGCAAGCCAGCAGTTTTAAAGCTTTTTTAAGTTGTTGCAGGGTGTTTTGTCACATTTTCTGTATGGCTGTACAATTTTGGGGCAATTTCAGGGGGCATAGATTCAATTTTAATCTTTGGAAGGGCCTTTCGTGTTCAAATGGGCTTGTCATCGGGTCATTACACACTTCAACTTTCATTTTCTGGCAATACCTATTAGTGCTTAAACTTAGACATGATTGTTCACAAAACTATTTTGGTATATGTATGTATAATATGTATGCGTGCGTGTGCTTAAGCTCAAATTAGCTAAATGATATTTTAATGACACCACTCCAAATGCAAAGAAAACTTGTCTCTGAAACAAAAGCCAAAAGGAATCGGCTGCGGCCCATAAAATATATTTCGATCTGTCTGCTCAGTATATATCCGATTTTGTTGCTCTTTTTGTTGCATAATTAACGCATTAGTGGCTCTTTATTATGATAATTTGTGTGTTTCTTGAAAAATTATGCAAGCTGTTTTTAGCCAAATAATTTGGTATCTTTCATTTTTTTTTGGCAATAATTATACATTGATTTTTGTTTCAAGGTTGGCTTTGCTAATTTGACTAAGAAAAATCACTAAACAAAAACTTTCGAGCCGCACAAGAAGTTGACATTTAATTCGAAGAGGCAGTAAAGTCAAATATTTGATTGAATCTTGTATGAAATATTAATGAACTTCAGGGGTCATCGGGCTGACAAAGTTGTCCATGACAAAGTTGTCGAATATTAGGTAAACTCGTGAAGGTTGTTTGAAGCCACAGAGTTTGGGAAATGTACACAAGTGGCAAAGAATATTTTAATAAAAGTAAGATAATAAAAATGTACGGATATTTGAAAAGGGGAAACATTGAATTTACGAATAAGTATCTAGTGTTACCCAAACAGCCATCGAAACTGGCATCAAAAATGACCCAATATGAGGTAAATGTAATAGTAATAGTTGCCCAATTTCCAGGGTTAATTCGCTACCCCGTGTCTGGTAAATTGATTTCGCAAACTCACATTAAAAGGGCGTTTAAAAAGCGGGGGAAAAAAAGCGATATTCAATAGCCCAGATCAGCCCGATGACAAGGCAAAAAGTCGAGGGTATTTGAGAAGTGCGAGCGTGGCCAATTCCGGCTCAATAAAACTGCGATTCGACGCGCTTCCCCACCGCCAAAAAATGGGTCAATTAATTTTGGTTTTGGTTTTGGTTTTTTGTTTTTTTATTTGTTTGAAACCCCGTTTTAGAAGAGAACTTTCCCAAAAGAGAAACCCGAATCCAAAGTTTGAGAAATAAGACAATGAGACAAAAAGACACTTGCAATTAGTCAGGTGGCGGATCATTTAAGGCGGAATTTAACCAACTTATCTAGCCAACTTATCTAGATATCTGGCTACGTACTTCCGTCAGCATTTCAGCATTTCAGCTTTCTTTTGCCTTTTCGGATTCGTATCCATATAGTGATGAAGGGCGCACATATGTGACATATTAAGCCGCTTAATGGCGAATCAAGCAACAACAAGCTCCGCAAATAGACAGCGGCAGTCAGGTGTTAATTGTCTTTCGAGAAAGAAATTTCTCAATAATCGTAATGAAATAAAAAAATATGAAAACCCCAATAAAAAGCAGCTATGAATCACCGAAAAGTCTGGATTCACTTTCACACAGGCCAACAAACGAACCCTCACATGCAATGTTTATGTACAATGTATGTACACATATAATTCGGCATTGCATAATGCCATAGCGTCTGACTGCATTATATAGTACGTCTTTAGTTTCGAATGCATCTCCACATTTGGCAGTGTAGGTGTGAAAAAGTCAGCGACCCAAAGACAAAAGTTAAACAACAAAAAATACAAAAATGTTCAAAAATTACACACACACCCACAAAATAAAAAAGAAATCCATAACGAAACCGAAAACTTTCTCAATGAATAGCCCCCACATGCAATTGAATGAGTGTTTGTGTGAATCATCTGCCCAAACAGAATATTCAAAGTAGGAGCATAATGGTTTTGAGGTATTCAAATACGCCCCCTCGATTTTCTCATGCAAACTAAATATTTTCCAATATTTTAAGTTAGAAATAGTCACTTGATTAACTGCAATCAATTTGGCATTCACATTCTAAAATGTTTGACAATATCACTTCGGAAATTGTGCATACATTTTGTATGCCAGTGGTGAATGCAAGTGAATTTGAAGACTTTCATTGCTGACATTGTTCACTTAACAAAGAAATGTAATTGCAAATAATGAATTCACTAGATGTATCCATTCACCGACTGCAAGTGCAGACTGCACTTTTCCATGCCTTTCGTTGTAATTAGCATTCGAAAACTATTCAAACCAATTCACTATGATTATTTGATTATTGGAAGAACTCACCTTGACATTGGGCTGCTGCAGCTGCAAGAAGGTGGCTACTCCATTGCGCACACGATTCTTGACGCCCCTCACAGTGCCCTTGGCGGATCTAATCGTCGAGTTGGCGGTTAGTTTGCCCTCCGTCCGGATGTCCCGAAAGCCAGCAAAGTTCTCACCCGGCTGCTCCTCGGAAAAGTTCTGCGCTTCGTACTCCGTGGAGGAATTGGAGCCAAAACTGCGGAAATTCTCATGCTCGCGCACATGGAAGTTATAATAGCCATCCGTTTCGAATTGCAGCGGTCTGCCGTCGATTTTGGTGACCAACGGACCGGACTCTCGTTCTCGGAGTCGAATGTCCCGGAGCAGGGTGGTGGGCAGCAGACCGCCGGAGTGCAGGGAATCGCAGCTCAGCGAGGAGTTGCTGCTCTCATCGCACTCCTCGCTGTCATCGGTGAGGCTGTAGGCCCGCTGAGGAACTGGACTCGGCGTCTCCAGCGGACTGTCCCTCTCCGCCTCCGCTTCCGCCTCCGCCTCCGCCTCCTCCTTGACCTTCAGCCGCGTGGTCTGCAGATGCAGCTCCAGCTGCGGTGACCTCACTTGCTGCTGCTGCTGCTGCTGCGGCGGCGGCTGCGGTTGACCCTCCAGATCGCTGCCCGTGCCACTGTCCAAGGTGTCGCAGGGCGAGTACTGGCCACTGGTGTCCACCAAGTAGCACAGGTGCTGCTGCATCTCCTCCACGCCCTCGTTCAGCTTCACCACACTTATCTGCTTGCCCAGTGTCCGCGGCTGACCCTGGCTTTCGATTTGAATCTTCACTGTGTTGTTGTGTTGCAATGTTGCTGCTGCGTTCGCTGCTGTTGCTGCTGCTGTTGCTGCTGCTGCTGTCTGACTGGCGGCAATTTCTCCATTGCAGCTGATTATGGTCGGCGATGTTGCTGCGGTTGCTGTTGCTGTTGCACCGGCAATTTCTCCGCCAATGCGCAGCAGCAGCTGCGGATAGATTTTGGTGGTCCCTGGTGCTACTGCCGACTTGGCTGCAGTGTCGTAACTAGTTTCCAAATTATCTTTGGTTGCTGCTGCTGTGTCGCCAAATGCCAGCAACATGCCAGCCTGGGACTTGAGCGACATTTCAGTGTTGCTGTTGCACTTGGCAGTTGGTGCTACTTGTGTTGATGCGGCTGCTTCTGCTGTTGCTGTTGCTGTTGCTGCTGCTGCTTCTGGTGTTGCCGCAGCCACTTCTGGCGATTCAATGATTATGGAAATACCGCGCATTGGCTCCAAACGCGACACATTGCTAGTGATTGCCGCCATGGTTCTGCAGCATCTGGTTGTTGTAGCTGTTGCTGTTGTCGATATCCGATTTCAGATATCCAGTGCCTATATCTTGCGGCTGCCTCCAAGCTGATGCAATCAAGTGCCGGCTAATGATGTTGCTCCTGTGCGTACCACTTGTTGCTGCCTCTGCCAAGTCAAGCTGTACAGTTAGAATGCCGTGTGCATAGGATGGCAGCAATTGGTGTTGCCGCAGTTTGTTGCAACTGCAGTTGCTGCTGCAACGAGGAGGCAAATCAGAATGAGTTTTAGGGGCAGCCACGGCAATGTTTACCTGCTACTAAAAATTTTATTACGATTCTTACGATTTCAACATTCTACAACATGTATGCTAAGTCTGACTTAAATGAACTGGCTAAGTTGCCCAAGTTTCTCTAAGTGTGTAAGCCGCCACACGAGCTTGACATTTAAGCCGAAGATGATGCCGAATAAATGTTAAAGGCTTTACCAGCGTACTAAAAATACAGATGGCAAACCAGAAAGAAACAAAAACAAAACAACAAAAATAATAATCACAATAATGATAAACACGAAACAGCAAAAAGCAAAAAGCAGACGGAACTGGCCAAAGAATAAAACTGAAACAAAAGCGAAACTGAACCACTGAACACCCTGAAATTTTGGGTTTGATTTCCTGCAACAGTAGCCTTCTCATTTTTTATCTGTAGCTAACCAGGCAAACTACTAATTAATTGATAAACATCAAGTAAAAATAGAAATATATACACAGATGTTTTGTTTTCTCATATCGCTATTTGCCACAAGCGGGATCGATTAGTGCAGCAACTTCTGCGGTTCGACAGAGAATGTTCTTCGAACTTAAGAACGAGTTGGGATTTACATCTAAATAGCTGGGGAACTTGAAATATTGGGCGCGCTCAGCCCGCGGCATTTTTTGTCGGTTTTTTCCTATTTTTTTCTCTTTGGAATCTGGAAACTGGTTACACTTGAACCTGGTATTTCTGTTTTTTTGTTGTTTTTTTTCATTTGTTTGGAAATATTTGAGCGGCGCTTACCTGTTGTTATTGCTGGTGCTGTTGTTGTTGTTGCTGCTGGCCTGCATTCGCCGCTTATTGCACACAATTTTCATTTGGTAGCATACCACACACACACACACACACACACACAAAATAAAACAAAAATCAAACAATTCGGAAAAACAGTTTTACACATTCAGTGATTTTTATTGGGCTATATTTTCCATATATTGCACACGCACGCTGCCTGTTTTTGTGTTTTTGTCTCGGTTTTTCGCTGCTGTTTTTACCAACTCTGATTGCATTGGTTTTGGATTTTGGATTCCGCGGATATTTGATTTGATTGATATCGGCTTGGAAAAAGTTTTGAGAACTCGCCGCGCGTACAACCCATTCAAAATCGCGCTGGCAACTGAAACCGCAGCAACAAAGTCGCTTTGGGTTGGCGTGTTTTGCCAGGGATTGTTTTTTACCTCTTCTTCTTCGCCACAATAGTTCCCTCTCTGTCTGCCGCCCATTCGCCGACTCTTTCTCAAGCCAGTTGTTGAGGTTTTTTAATTTTTGCTTTCAAGAAACTCACAAAAAAGCAGCAGCCGCTGAAATTACCTAAAACAAAAATAAAAGAGTTGCACGTGTGCAAGGCAATACTTCAAATACGCTTTCCACGGATTAATTAAGTATTAAATCACAGTTTACAGTTGTTACCTAATTTTTTTAATAATATTTACACAATACACATTTGCCCAATTATTCTTTAAATTATATTAAGCCAAAGCTATATTTTCATCGGTAAAATGCACAGAAATACGTTGAAAACCTGCTGAAATAGTTAATGTTGCTAGTTGAGTGCCAAAGTCACACTACCCCACCGGATAGTGAAACAAAAATGCGGCGCTGAGAATTTGTTTACGTGCGCATGCGCAGCCGCAGTCGACGGCGCTGCCGCTGCCGCAGTCGCTGCCGCTGTCGACGTCGGCACTTGTCCGCCGCTTTTATTATTGTTATTGTAGCTGGTGTTGTTGTTGCTGGTGTTGCTGGTGCTGCTGGCGGCGGCGCAGTAGTACTCGTTTGTTGCCAAAGTTAATTGTTTGCTGCCCCAGCTGCACAGTGGAGCCCCGAGATGTGCGCGGGGCACAGTGGGCAGTGGCAGTGGATGGATGGAATGTGGCAAGGCCTCAAACTGGTTTTTACTCGGTTTTTAGGGGCTCAGGTGCGACGATGCCGCCGACGATTGAGACTTCAACTGGAGAGCAGGAATTCCGATTCCGCTGGCAATCAGATAAAATTGGTCCACTTCGAACCAAGAAATATGAATGCTGTCCGTCCGTTCATCTGTCCGTATGTATGTCGTGTGTACTTCGGGATCTCTGGAGCTATAATAATATAAAAGCTAACAAGTAGTTTCAAATGAATCACCAACAACTGTTTGAATGATTCCTACCAATTCGACGGTTCGTTTTCCCTGATGTCGCCAAGAAATTTCCGCCTAAAAAATACATAAATATGTATGTAGTCGTACACACAAATAACAACTTTCCTGCCAGCGGCTCCGTTGGCTGAACAATTGCCGATGGATTTTAGCTTTTAATTATATTTAATACCAAAGTGTTTATGCAAAGGAAAGAAAAACCGAAGGAAAGACGCCTCAAATTTGTGTGTGCAATCAACGGAATGCAAAGCTGCACTTGCAGTATGCAGAAAGTACGAGTGCAGCAGCCACATGCCACATGCCACATGCAACAGGCATTGCAGCTTGTAATTTACCGCTAATTCCATGCAGCGAGACGTCCAACGATGACGACTACTTAGATACTTATGTACGTCTCTCTGTCTGTCTGTGTATACCGCCGCCACTCGTACCGCCACCCGTACCGCCCCAAGTTGCACGGGTACCGCTCCGCCCAGCACGGTGGCCGGTCACTTGGCCAGTTTGTTTCCGCCTGTTGCGCTCCGCTGAAGTCACAAGGGCTGCTGCAGGCGTTGGCCAATGCAGATTACCGTTGCACATGCGCACACACTTTGCTGCACTGCGAGAAAGAAGTGCCACTTCTGCGCTGATTGCCAATGGAAAGTTCTTGGTACTGGCCGCCGCTATTCAGCAGTATTTGTTGAAGAACTTTAAACTCCATTTTGGTATCTTTCTCCATTTAACATATTCTCCATTTAACTACCATTTTCTTCTCTGTGTACTAATACTACTTGGTGAAAAGCAACTGGCCAAGCTTCACTGATCATGCAGAAGTTGTTATGAGTTCTGGATTTATAAAGGAGTCATAGGATTATTCAGACGTAAAGTAATATATTCTATTTATATCCATGAGAACTCAAAGATACAGGTTTAAATTAGACAAAAAAAGAATAGCAAACGGAACTCCCAATTGTGTGTCGCCAATTAAAATACCATATAAACCTTGCTTTTGTTTATTTATTGTCATTTAGTTGCAATTTTTGTTATTACTTATCAGTTGCTTCATTGAACATAAGTTGATAATGACAAGCTGAATTATCTATTTCATAGTTTCATGTGTTCAATGCGAATGAGAGAATTTTACAACAATTACAAGACCCATTGGGAGCTGGGAAAATAAGTATAATAATTCAGTAATAATAATCGTATTTTCTTTCGGTAATATGATTTTTATTTTTTATCGTATATATATTACTATTCTTTTGGATTTTTGCAAACGGTGTATTCTTTTTTTGGGGGTAGTAGAAGCTTGCCCATATATCTCATCTCGTTCGTTTTGGTTTAAAACTCGTTTCGTAGGGGTTCCTTTATTGTCAACATCAATAACATTTAATACATGTATAATATATGTGTTCCTTTCGATCTAAATAGATGTGTATAATATATCGATGTATATGTATAAATATACCATATAGAAATGTATAACTTATAATACAGTGCAATCAATTGCCACATGGAGGAGTGAATTTATTTTAAAGGGTTTTTGATCCATTTTAAAAGTGCCCAGAAGTGTCCAGAACTTTGCTTTAAAACGAATTCACGCACCCATTAGTTGCATTTCAAAACAGATAAACATATGTATATATATATAATTCTTAAGTTGTATAATAATAGTAATCAATGCTTTAATGAGTCGTTAAACCTTAAGCTGCCTTCTCCAGTTATGTATATGTATATGTATATCTCTATAGAGTGCTTTTCCACCTATTTGAACGGTTGCGTTTGCGATTTGTTAATGTTCATTTTAATGTAAATGTATAACTACAGATATACCTATAGGCCATAAGTACAATGGAGTCCGGCGATGATAACGGTTACCAACAAGTATTTTTATTCGTATAACATTCGATTAGAGGAAAACATAACGCATGTCCAATATACATATCTCCATCTCCCCTTCAATTATCTATAACACTGAGACTTTAAAGTGGCTTTCAAGTTTTAAGCATAGTTTCGAATGTGATGGTGATAGTGATAGTGATATGATTTCGTGATTCCGCCTACACGAGCAGAGTAAACACAGAAAGCCGAGCTGATCACAACAGAGAATGGAATGTGTTTGGTATAGTTACTTTATAGTTAAACATATATCTCTTATAGGTGGTGCCCTGCTGCCCCGTCGCATGATATGGTCAAATTAAACAGTTAAGTCTAGAATACAGCGTAGTTATCGCATATAGTTATCATATATATCGTATATAGTCAGCAAATTGTGTGTTGTGGCAAATGGTTCGTTTTCTCTTCGATAGCGAAATCGGATATGTAGACCCTATAAGGGTGGCCATATAACAACTCCTCACTCTCTCTGCCCATTTCGAAAAACAAACCCAAAGAGGAAAGGCAATGGAAAACAATAATCGCGCATGTGTATACATACGTGTATATATATGGCCACATGCTAATGAAGTTATGCGGAAATATTTCCATTGATTTCGGCCTTTTTTATGCACTTTTTCTATAGCTTTCTGCTTGAATGAAACCGCGCATCCAGCGTCGAGTTTTACCTACATAGTATTGCTATTTTCCTATTTTCCTTGTTGTGGTTGCTTTGCATTATATATTTTCTTCTTCATGGTTTCATCTTCGTTATATCTTCAAACAGTCTTTGGGACCATATAGGAGTGTTTTGATATCGACGCCGCCTAACATCGGTGAGTGCTTACTTATTGTCCATATTTACATCGAGATTCATTATATATTGCATCCGTATCTATTTCGGTTTGCGTTCGCTCAAGAATTCATCTGGTTTTATTGTCGTCGTTGTCTACTTTCGTTCTGGTATCCTACTCCTATCTGTATCTACTCCTCCTCTTCCAGCGACTTTTCGGGTAGTCCGTACTTTGGGCAGCACATGCCCTCCGTACCATCCATGTTGAAGCAGAAAATGCTGCGCTCCAGCTCGGTTGGCTCATGTGGCACGATGCCGTGGACTTCCCTCAGCTCCGCCTCGGGAAACCAGGCGGGATCCGAGTCCTCCACCACCTTGATGCCGCACAAACTGAAATACGGAGTATGTGTGATATGTGTGATATGGTCATGGAAATCGTGCTGCTTCCTTACCGCAGCACCGCCACAATCGGTATCCACAAAATGGATGAGAGTATCAGGAAGAAGGCAACGACGATGCACCAGTGGGGCCACTCCATGCTCTCAGTGGCTCCCTTGGATGCGATCCAGGCGGGATAACTACTGCCCTCGGTCAGCAGTTGATAAAAGGAGGCCAGCAGGATGGTGACCATGGCACAGGGCGATAGGTACTTCCAGCAGAACATCCAATAGAAGTTCGGCCGCGATCCGGTCATCATCTCAATGTCGTCCGAGAATCGGCGTACTCCGTAAATGTAGCTGATCGAGAGGCACTCGAAAAGCGCAATGATCAGCAGCGGGAAATTGCCTGCGAAACTGTCCATCAGCTGAAATATATAGCTGCCCGCTCCGTTGGCAAAGCACATGGAAATCGTGCAGCAGGAAAAGCAGAGGGCCTGCGAAAAAGTTGATTGATTTCAATTGTTATGAATTTCCCAAGGAAAAGGTCCATGTAAAGCAGTGGCAGATGTGGCAAAAATAGCTCACCCCCACAATGTACTCCTTGGGCAGGTTGGGGAAAAGCTTCATGTCCACCAGGGATGTGACCACGCCCTCCAGAGTCCCGAATTGCGAGTCGATTCCCAGGGTAAAGAGCATCAGGAAAAATAGGACGGCCCAGAGTTGAGCGCCCGGAAACTGATTGATTGCCTCCGTGAAGATGATGAAGGCCAATCCTGTTCCTGAAGCACTCTGAAATAGTAATAATAATAGTAGTTATATTCGTGTACAGAATACACAGACAAGTTAACTCACATTGGCCAGTTCCGTTTGCAGATCACAAACGGGCAGGTTCTGAGTCTTGTTCTGGGCCATCAACCCATTCCGCTCCTCGGTGCAGCGATCAAAGGTCGCCGTGGCCTTGAACCCGATCACTGAGAAGACCACCACCCCGGCGAACATGGAGGTGCCACAATTGGTGAGCGATACGAGTATGGCGTCCCTGTAACAATTATTATTCGCCGGATTGTACGAACTGAAGGCAATCAGACCGCCAAAGGCCAGGCCCAGCGAGAAGAAGATCTGGGTGCCGGCCTCCAGCCAAACAACTGGATCCAAGAGGGTTTCCCATCGCGGGGTAAACAAGTGTGCCACCCCATCTGCAGCGCCCTTCAGAGTGATGCCGCGAAAAAAAAATATTATGAGCACCACATAGGGGAATATGGCCGTCATATAGACAATCTTGCCGGATGACGTGATGCCCTGGACCATGCAGATGTAGACCAAAAACCAGGAGACGATCAGCGCAATGGCCATGTGGTAATTGAAGTTCTCCGGCAGATCCACACTCTCCGAGCACTGCAGTGTGGTGCGATACCAGTAGAACTGCGTCGGCGAGGAGGCCACACACTCCGGCTCGTGATCGTAGGTAAAGTTCTTATACAGCCTCGTCGGACAGTCCGCCCAGGGCAATGGCGTTTCGAAACTGTGCAGCAGATAGATCAGGCACCAGGCGATTATGGTGTTATAGTACAGGGCCACTATATAGCTGACCACCGCCGATGAGATGCCGATGCCGCCTAGATACGGCGACACCTGGCTCCAAACGCCGATGGCTCCTTTTCGCAGTCGCTGGCCAATTGCCAGTTCCAGGTAGAAGATCGGTATGCCCTGGATGCACAGCATTATGAAGTAGGGCACCAGGAAGGCGCCGCCGCCATTCTTCTGGGCCAAATACGGAAAGCGCCACACATTGCCCAGGCCAACGGCATAGCTGTGGCAAGTTGAAAGTTACGAATTAAATGGCATAAAGCTATGGCTATGGCTATGGCACATACCCAATGGTGGCCAGCAAGAACATGATTTTGCTGTCCCAGCTCTCCCGCTCCTCGCCCTCCTTCTCGCCCTCGACGATGTCCTGCTGATCCGCAGAGGCAGTTGCAATGGCCACCAGCTCGGCCTTGGCCTTCGAGGTGCTCGCCTCGGATCCGAAGGGCGGCGGATCCTGCTCCAGTTCCGAGGACTCGTCGAAGGCGTCGGACATGAAGCCCTGGTTGGTGGCCCCATAGAGCGGCTGGTGGTGCAGCGATGTGTGGTGGTGGTGGCTGACGCCATGCTCCTTTGACACCAGGCGACCTCGGAGTTCCTGGAACAATTGACTGATTTCAATATTCACCCAAAAAAGAAGCAGTTTTGTGCGAGGCCTGTGAAAAATGCTAGTCAAAATACCCAAAGTTACTCTCGAGTATAAAATCAGAACATTTTATTAATCGGTTAATCTTTAATGACCCTTTTTTTGTTGCGCTGAGTGCCAGTTAATCCCTAGACTTACCCTCAATTCCAGCTGATCGATGCTTTTCTGGCTTTTGAGGACTATATCCCGGGAGCTTTGGCGACGCAATAGCTGAGCTGTGTTGGCCATGATTGTGTTTTATTATTATTCGATTTATTACAGGGTACTATAGGTGTACGAGTGGGTGCTGTGCTGGTGTGTGTGGGTGCCTAATAGTGCTCTAAGTCCGTGCTTCCGCTTCTCGAATTTGCCTCTGATTTCACTTTCCTCAGCGCCACCTAGTGTTGCGTTCAGGTAACTAGCAACTCACTGGACATTTTTCGTAGCATACTTTTTGAGGTGGCTGTATCGCATTATCGCTTATTTCTGGTCTTTATTGTTTTTTTCTATGGCTTGGTGCTTTTGTTAGTGCTTAATTGCAGGTGATAACGGTGCATTAGTAGTAGACGCCATCGCAGTGCCACAGGCTGCTCTTTCTAGTGGAATACGTATTACTAATAATTGTATTTAGCATGCATGCACAGCGAAAAATTGGTATGGAAAATGAATTCAGTGCAAAATAATAATTTTGAAACTTATACATAAAATCTTTTCTAAAAACCAAAAAAGCTTACAGCTTTGTTTATCTTTTTGTACTTATTTAAACTTTGAAACGATTTTAGGCATCCGTTTACAACGAAAATATGCTACTTAATGGGTTCCTCACATAGTCTATACAGTTACACAAAATGTTGATAAAAGAAGAAAAGATAGAATGACAATTCTATTGAAATTAACAATCAATTTCAATAGTTGGTATTTTCTTAACGTGTGCTTTCCATCAATCAAATCATGCAAAAGGAAAACCCACACATAGCGGGACATGTGCGGGGTTTGCGTGACGGGTCCACACAATAAATCAATCAAGTGAGTCCTTCCCTACCACCACCCACCCACCGCCCCCTGAACACTTTCCGCCCACTTACTAATGCAGCTTAATGGAATTCACTTTCTTTTTCGACCTGCAATTAGTGTAGGCTGTGTTTCCCAGGGCGATGGGAGTACTTTACATCGCTGCCATGGAGACCTTACAATATTACTCTATATGATACTCTAAGGATACTGATTTTGGTAAACTTTGGCGTGCAGCTTTACTTTTTTGTGCCCTTCTTAATGGCGAATTATATCCTTTTTGGACTGCCTTTTTTTTTGTTGCTCGTCGAAATCTCACTTATATAACCGACGCAAAAACACTCGCGAAAATTTGAAGTCGCACTTAAACAAACAGCGAAGTCAGGGAGTCAAACAGAGGGGAGCGATGGGCGCGGGGGGCTTTTTGTCGATTATCCTTGGATTAACCGTTGCAGGTGGTTGCATTAAAGCCTATTTAAAGGTTGGTTCCGTCGCTCCTTTCGCTATCCCGTGATTCTGATTGGGATAACGTAACGCTGTGTCGTAACGGGACGTTGGCAGGAAACTGTTGAGCAGCAAAGGACGTAATAGCCGAATGGCAGGACGAAAAGGATAACGATTAACGGGGGAGGCGACGACGGGAGAGCAAGGAAGCAAAATGAAAAGAGCAGCGCAGACGCGGCACGCGGCACGCGAATCCAAGAGAGAGGGAAGATGGTAAACAAAAGAGGGAGAAACAAGCAGCGAAAAATAAACCAATTTTTTACCAAATTAGCCATTATGTATAATGTTATCTACACCAAGTATCTTTTTTTTAGTTATGTCCAGCTATATATTTGATCAATTTATAGCAAAGTGCAACATTCTATTCGAGTGTCGTTAGCAAAAGGCGTTAGTGAGTTTTCGAAAATCAACTCCGTTCATCGAACAAGTTTTTCAAAAAAGTGTTATCGATGAACTAGTGCTAGCAGTGATTGCAATCCAGTGTGACGAAAACTAATAGAAAAAATATTAAAAACTACTCATGCATACTTAGACACAAACTTCTAATTGGGAAATGTGTGTCCGTATTCAAGATTTATTTCTCAAATAAAATTAGAAATAAAAACCAAAACTGTGACAGATTCACTGTGAATATTTGCTCATCTCTAGAATGAACTGGCACAGAACCAGCCGCCTAATGAACACTTATCGGTATACCTCTCATAAATTGTTTATTGTTTTGATAAGCGGACGGGGAATCGCGTGGATTCGTAGGAAAGATGGTGTTCAAGTGCCAGGAGGACAGTTTCCTGAAGCAGGTGAGCCCTCAAGTGAACCGCAGAGACCCTAATTACATAATTTGTGACCTAATTTATGGCAGTTCAAGACGAAAATCGTAAGCAGCGAGTTCGCCACCATTGATTGGACTGACACCAGTGGAAAGGTTGAGAAACTGAAGGGTTTCAATGTGATCTGCGAGGATACAATACTGTTCCCCGAGGGCGGAGGTCAGCCCTGCGATTACGGAACCTTAGGCGGATTCCCCGTAAAAAATGTCCAGAGAAAGGGCTCTACGGCTGTTCATTTTGTGGAGTCGCCAACTAGTTTCGAGCAGGATGCCGAAGTCCTTCTAACCCTAGACTACCAGAGAAGACTGGATCACATGCAACAGCACTCAGGACAGCACCTAATCACCGCCTTGTTCGACAGGGAGTTCAAGTACGACACCACCTCGTGGTCCCTGGGTTCCAGTGTCTCCTACATTCAATTAAGTACGCCTCATTTGATAAGCCGCGAATCACTGGACCTCATCGAACGGCAAGCCAACGATCTGATTCGCGAGGGCCGCGAGGTTACGGTGCTTCTTGTGGATCCCGAGGTGGCGCAGGAGTTCCAGGACGCCAGGGCTCCCAGGGGACTGCCCAAGGATCACGAGGGTCTGGCCAGGGTGGTGCGAATCGAGGGCATTGAGAGCAACATGTGCTGCGGCACCCACGTCACGAATCTCTCCCAGCTGCAGTGCATCAAGTTGCTCTACGCCGAGAAGGTCAAGACGAATGTTCTGGTGCACTTTGTCGTGGGCGAGAGGGTGCTCGTCAAGCTTGGCGAGGTCTTTCAGCGCGAGCAGCAGCTCACGCAGGCTTTAAAGTGAGATTTTCAAGGATGTGGGCCAGTTCTGTGTAGCTAATCATCTGCATTTCACAGAGGTGGTCCCGGTCAGCACTTGGAGCTCGTGCAGAAGCTACAGCAAAATGTGAAGGGCAGCCGCAAGTACTTCCAGCAGCTGCTGAAGGACTACGCCACCGCCGAAGCCGAGCGTCTGGAGGAGCTGCCCAAAAAGGATCGTCCGAAGTATTTCTCTCTCCATCGACGCGACGGCATCGAGGTGGACTTTATTAACACATTCTTGCGGCTGGCTCCGGAGGGAATCTTCTACTTTCTGACCGTTTCCGAGGGCGTTTCTGCTGGCAGCGGTGCCAAGGGGCATCTGGTTCTGCGCGGGGATCCAGAAATAGTCGAGAAACTCGGTCCCCAGTTCGTGGACATCCTCGAGGGCAAGGGAAACGGCAAGGAGGGCAGTTTCCAGGGAAAGATCAACAACTTGGCTAGACTGGAGGACTGCCAAGAGCTGCTGGAGGCGCAGTTCAAACCAAAGAGGGTCGTCGAAGCCCCTCCTGCAAACGGAGCTCAGCTGGAGGCAGAGGAATAACGTAATTGGTTGAAGTGGGAGTGGTTGAATATACAATATTTGTATGCCACTAAGGTTCGAGAATAAATATTGCCTTATTTTAAAGCGAACAGTAAGCTACATCGTAAGCCGCACAGAAAGAATTAATCACATGTACCTGTACTAAAAACATACATATATTGGTTTTCCCTCGATTGACTTAAGCGGCAAACATGGTATTACGGATAACGAAAGCTTAACGGTGTGGGATCACAGGTAGTTCACATCGTAGTTGTGCATCTTCCATTTGAGTCGCCAGTATTGATTCCAAAATCCCAAGTCTACGATCCGTTTGTGGAAGTTGAAGATGCCCACGTTGGTGTATTTGCAGATGGCCGGATAGGTGCAGTCGTCCTCGTCGTAAAGATCCACCCAAAGGATTGTGCAGATGCCCAGAGAGAGGAGACGCAGTTTTCTCTGATTGATCGCCCTCTCCAAGGTCAGCAGATAGTCGGCGGACACGGGATTCTGCAGTTCCACGGGCACGGTGATCATTCGATTTGTGGCGCCCCTTAGTAGAGTCATAAATGCCTCCTCGCCCGGATTCTTTAGGCCGGCTTGGTACACGAACAGCACTCCCGTGCCATAGAGAAGCGCCTTCTTGGGCTTCGTGTAGGAGTCGCGTACCACGCCCACCGCCACCTCCGTGTAGTCCCTGACCAGGCCTTTCCAGTACTGCACCCAATTCTCCACGAACGTGCCCTTGAAACGCTCCGGCATCTGAATCCTGTCGGCCAATCTCTGGCGCAGTGCCGTTATACGACCACCCAAGCGGAGGAACTGCATCTCCTGGCGGGTTTTCAGTGACCAATTTGGAAAAAGCCGAAAAACCAGGTGGTATCGAAGTGCTAGTGTTATCAAATCAAAAAAACAGCTGTTCAGTGTGACTGTGCGCCGGAATGGCGATATATCGATATTTTGCCCGAATGGTGGCAAGCAATTTCCTTTATATATGAAATCTCAGCAGACATATGGTTTCTAGTTTAAAATACTACATGAGCGAAAAATGCATTTTATTTATCAGTGGCATTATCATGATCAGTGGCATTTGGCCACACTGTCGCACCGATAGTTCCTGGCAAATATCGATATTTTGCCCGAATGGTGGAAAGCCATTTCCTTTATATATGAAATCTCAGACATATGGTTTCTAGTTTAAAATACTACATGAGCGAAAAATGCATTTTATTTATCAGTGGCATTATCATGATCAGTGGCATTTGGCCACACTGTCGCACCGATAGTTCCTGGCAAATATCGATATTTTGCCCGAATGGTGGAAAGCAATTTCCTTTATATATGAAATCTCAGACATGGTTTCTAGTTTAAAATACTACATGAGCGAAAAATGCATTTTATTTATCAGTGGCATTATCATGATCAGTGGCATTTGGCCACACTGTCGCACCGATAGTTCCTGGCAAATTATCGATAGCAAAGTAATTGTTTTCATCATTAATTGCCAGCGCGCTGTCACTTGTGCGTGTACAAAACTTGTTAAATAAAGCACAAAACTTGTTAAATAAAGCACAAAACGAGCGTATAACAGCGGCCAGGTGGGCGCAACGAGACAAAAAGAGGTGTTGCAAATCGGAATATAGCACATAGCACCACAAAATCCCCAGAAGGCGCGGTAAGCGTAATATGCGAAAATCGCTGCCATGAAAAAGACCAAGAGTGCAAGCTCCTTGGGATCAAACGGATCACCCCAGGGACAACCTTCGGAATCCGCCGGATTGACGGAGTCCGCCGGATTGGCGGAATCCGCAGGATCGTCGGCGCTCCAGCAGGACTCGCTGGCAGCCAAGGAATGTGAGTACTATTTCTCTTCCCAAAACAATACAAGTGCTCATTTCCATGCAAGCACAGTGGTGGGCATATTAATAGAAACACAGGACGTGTCATTAGTGCAAGTCATTATGCATGCCATTAGTGCAAGTCAACATTCTATTTAGAGTGTGTATTTGACGGAAATAAGTTCACGTAAATATTAAAAAAAAAAAAATTCTTCAAAGAGCTGTTCCTATTCCGGGGAAAACACAATAGTGGTTAAAAATTTTGCAGAACACACCTAAAACGTTCTTTATATAGCAAGTGTACCATCTTCCTCTCGTTTTCAGCTGAAGAAATGGAAATAGAGCCCTCGAGCAATAAGCCATTGGAAGAATCCCTGGGATCGAACGGATCACCCTGGGGAACACCTTCGCGATCTGCAGAGGCCGCAGGATCGGCGCAGTCCGCAGGATTGGCGGCGCTACAGCAGGACTCGTTGGCAGCCAAGGAATGTGAGTACCACGGAATTCTTCTTTCCAAGACGATACATGTGCTCATTTCCATGCAAGCACAGTGGTGGGCATACTAATAGAAACACAGGACGTGTCGATTAGTGCCACATGCCATTAGTGCAAGGCATTAGTGCAAGTCATTATGCATGCCATTAGTGCAAGTCAGCATTTTATTTAGAGTGTGTATTTGACGGAAATAAGTCCACGTAAATATTAAAAAAAAACAGATTCTTCAAAGGGCTGTTAAAAATGGCTGTTAGAACACACTTAGAACACTTAGCAAGTGTACCATCTTCCTCTCGTTTTCAGCTGCAGAAATGGAAACAGAGCCCTCGAGCAATCAGCCACTGGAAGAACAACCAAACCAAAGCGAAACTGCTATTTCCTCCATTCCGGCCATTGACAAGCTACGCCGCTTCTGCTTTATTGGCTCCATCGACGAGCCCGTCTATGCCCCGCCTGCACTAGATCTTGGTGTCGAGAACCACTTCGCATCGCTAAATAAGCTCTGCTCCCAAGTGAGCCAACCCGAGCTGGCCGAGTGCTTGGAAAGTGTGTTGGGCAGCGGACCGAATGCGGAGCACCTTCCGCGACCGAACGAGTCGCTGCTCATCCTGGCGGTGTTCCTCAGCACGTGCAAAGACGAGATGGATCGTATGCTGATGCGTTATAGAGTCGCCGACCTGATCACCCACGACTCGGAACTCCTACTGTTCGTCCAGCTGGTGAAGCGAGTCCAGAAGGTGCTCGAACGTCAAACGCCCTTCAATCGCACCGTGCGGAAGGCCGTTCTCGAATGGTATGACAAGCAATCGCTTGACCGCCTACTCCACCTGTGGTCGGTGGGCCATGAAACTAGTTGGTCGGCGCATCGCGATCTGTTGCGCCGCTGCCACTTTCAGGATGTCTATCTATCACCGGAAAAGATTGCTGCTCTACGTCTGCTTTCATCATCGCCAAAGCAGCTTTTTCAGTGGCCTGATTTTTTAACGCCCTTGAAAAACTTTCGCGACATCATTAAGGGTGTAGCGAAGCTTCGACTCCTGACTGATCGCGGACTAGCTCTTCCCATTGTGAAGAAATTATCGTTGAGCTGGGAGCACGTGCCATTGTACTTTATTCACGACACCGGGCTGGCAAAGTTCCTTACTCCACGCATGACCTACGAGCAACTCCTTCAAAGTTGGCCACGCGTCTCGCGACGCCACCACCACGTGCGCCCCTTTGCTGAGCAATTGCTGGATGAGAATAAGCTTAAGGCGGGCAATGTGCCGCCCGTACGTCTGCTGCTGGAGGATATGCTTCAGAAGAAGCCCAAAAAGGTGGTGAGTGTGCCCCCAGGCCGGTTAAATTAATTGGTACTGCCTCCATAACACATAGCCAATAATAAATGTAAATTCCAGTCTTCAGCTTCGGTGAAAAAGGCGAGTTTCCTACTTAGCGTCTACGAGATATCCTTTGGCCTGAACAAGGCACTCGGTAAACGACTCCACATTACCCTTAATCTGGAGAAGACCTATCTGGGCAGTAAGTGAAATTGCTGCTCATTAACTACATAGATTATTACAAACGAACACCACCAGAATACCTTACCGGTCGTTGTCGTTCGCTCAAATACTTGGACGCCCTGGTGGCATTGGCTTTTGGCTATTTCCGCAGCGACCCCGACGTGAAGGTGGAGTTTTGGTACGACCACAGTGGCCAGTTGAAGACGCTGCCTTGGACAAAGGAGATGTCTGTTTCAGAGGCTGCGGCCTGTTGCGAGAATCAGAAGGTAATCACTTTGTCCAATCGATCTCCGTCTTTTACCATTGGCCTTCGATGCAGGTGGACAAAGTCACTCAATCGCTAAATAGTATTGTGAACAGGGCGCTGTTGGATGAGCAAAACACGTACGACGTGTTTTTGGTGCTGGTGTCAGGTGCAGCGCGTGGAAATCCGGGGAATAACTCAGAGCACTTGGCTGCTCTAATGGACCAATATCGCGAAAAGCGAAGCTCCGATGCTAAGTGAATATTTGTGAATAGTGACATGATCTCTTTGCCATTACTTATTATAATCTTCCCTTCATAGATTCATTATGGTGAGCCTGCGCAAGCAGCAACGCTCCATGATCTATTCCAGCGCACGCAACGAGAACTTGTTGGAATTGTGCAGCCTGGATAAGCACACACCGCGTTTGATTAACGCATTTGTTCACGGCAAGTTTTACTAGACGGTGAGCGGCACTTGGGAGAACCGACGACCCATTTAATCGAACAGCTGCAGGCGGAAAACCATTCAAACATTCCATTTGTTGAAGGACGGTGGCCATCGGTTAGTTGCCATCGGTCATCTCTTTCGCTTTCAATGCGCTAGGGCGCTCGGTCATCCCACTCCCGTTTCAAATAGCTTTCGTGTAACAAATATACAGTTGCGGAGACATTAATAGCACCATAAGCACATTTCGTGTTTGTCCCAGCGTTTCTGTATTTTCTGACACTTTTTCATCATTTTACTCACTAAACTTAAATACTACAATGATTTTCAATCGAAATAACAAAATTAGTAACAGATCTAATGGATATTTTAAAAATAATTGGCAAAACAAAAAGAAAACCTTCAAATTTAGGCGATAACAAAAATAGCACTTTTTTTCGTAGTTTGCTAAAACTAAGCAAAAAAATAAGAAAAGAATTCAACAAATGGATTATATCTTAAGAACTATGTTTAAAGAATCTTAATATTTGGTTGCGTGACCTTTGTTGGCGATGACAGCTGCGCATCGTCCTGGCATGGAGTCCACCAAGTCCTGGCACCGTTTTTGAGGAATTTTGCTCCATGCATCCTTGAGCACACCCCAAAGTTCCTCGATATTATTGGGTTTGGCTTCAGAAACCTTTTTTTTCACGTCCGCCCAAAGGTTTTCGATTGGATTCAAGTCGGGTGACTGAGCAGACCATTTCATTACTCTGATCGATTTCTGCTCAAACCACTTTCGAGCTTTCTTGCTCGTGTGTTTTGGGTCGTTACCTTATTGAAATGTCCAAACTAACGGCATTTCATCCTCGGCATATGGCAGCATCACATTTTCCAGGATATCTGTGTAAATATGCTGATCCATGATGCTTTGAATCCAATGGATCGGACCTACTCCATAGTATGAAAAGCACGCCCATACCATTATGTTTGATCCTCCGTTCTTTACCGTCTTAGAGGTGAAGCGAGGATTATATTCAGGTCGTGGTGGACGCCGAACATAAGACCGAGAGCCTTTTCCACCAAACAACACAATTTTGCTCTCATCTGACCACAAAATGTTGCGCCACTTCTCCACAGGCCAATCCTTGTGTATCTTGGCATATTCCATTCGCTTTGCCACATGCTTCACAGTCAAAAGCGGGACTTTTCTGGGACTCCACGCATTAAAGTTGTTTTGTCTTAAGCGTTTGCATACTGTTTTCACGCTTTCAGCTATCTGAAGCTCCTTCTTCAGTTCCGTTGCCGGCTTAAAAGGCTCCTTGCTTTGCCGAACCAAGCGCTTGATCTCCACGTTGGACATTGAGGGCTTTCTTCCACGTGTTTCGTTCTTTTCGACAAACAGCAGTGCTTTGCGGATCATTTTGTTTGAACAACCGAAAATTCGATCAATTTTAGCGTAGGTTTTACCTTCAGAGACCATGTTTTTAATCAAATTCCTTTATTCGACGGTACAATGCTTTCCGCGACCCATGACTAGAGAATTTTCGGTCTTCGTTTGGAAAAAATTCAATTAAAACCTTTAATGCAACTCCTTTTTTCAAAATTTGTCGAAAAAAAACCCAAAGCAATCACTCCTATTAATTTTATTCAGCAAATACGTGGTCAGTGCTAGTTTTGTTACCGCCTCATTTCGGGCGCTTTTACAGAAAGTGCCCAAAAACAAAAAGAACCGTTACATTGAGAGAGTAAAAATTTCTTGCTCAGAGAGACAACATATGGTACTTATTATTAATGCAAACTGACTTTAAAAAAAATAAACATTTAATCATTTTTTTTAGGAAATAAACTTTCCACCTGCAGTCGTGCTATTTTTTTAGCCGCAGCTGTATATGCCCTTGGTGTGTAATCGTTGTAGAGCTACATTCATACTACATACTACGTACTAATAATGGTAATAGTGCATCCCGTAATCCAGAATCGGGTTAGTAGGATATTTTTATCGCTCGTTTTGTGTGTGTAATGACACTTGTATTCGTGTCAATTGTATAATTTTTACTAGATTTGGGCGATTAATTTTTTGAAATCAAACTGAATCAACTGAACTGAACTCAATCTAAATTCAATTTGGATTTAAAACAATCTCAATGAAATCGCAAGCGCAAACAACAAACAAAGAAGAAAAAAACCGACAAAAACAACAAACAAATTGCCTTACAAACAAAAATGTTAGTAAAACTTTCATTTTAGTTTAGACTTTTTCAAAAATTGAATACTGGAACTGAAACACAATTTATGGCATTTAGATAAAGTTAAAGTTAAATGTAAACTAATCGTATGGCCTATGTATTGAATATTAATCTAACGTAACTTTAAAATAGTCCAAGTCAAAGCAATAATCACCCATCACTAAGCAAATCCAGTTATAGCCTCGATTATACATTTATGTTGTGCTCGAATAGAATCGAATCTAATTAAATTAGCTAAATAGTTGAAACGCGTACAAGGCAACAAATTGAAGGAAAAGAAAAACTCCCAATGTGCCATACACAACCCACAAAACACATACACCCCCCATACACTGGATCAGTATACATATTTATTAGGATTGTGCAAAATTGCCGAACCGAAACCATATAGAGAACAATAACGAAACGACGAGCAAACGCTACCAATTTGACTAAAATTAGTTAAGTGAAATTATACTCAAATTACGGTTAAATTACATTTACTTGTATAGAAAGCAAAGCAACCAATTTGGATGATAAGCAAAAGCCAACAGAAAATAGGACAATTAAAAACGAAAATTAACTAACCGGAAATCGAAAGGACAAAAATGAAAATAGGAAATATTTCCACGGACATTTTTAACCAAATGTTTCCACACGCGTCTGTGAAGTAAACCGTTGTGATCGCTTTAGATTTTGATTTAAACAAAACAAATACAAAACTACAAACTACTAAATACTGAATACAAAAACAGATAAGCCGAAACATGAGCCGCAACAGGCAGCTATAAGTTATTTTATATAGTTTGTAAACTCGAAATCAGTAGGAGCGTAACCGAAAAGTACCTATACAACAAAAGCTAAACTAAAAATGAAACTGATACTGCAGAGCCAACCAATTGATATCCAAAAATCCAACACAATTACACATAATGTATTCAACTAACCCTCGCTGCCCGAGGAAATTCGGAATAAGGTTGATAGTAGGAAGATGAATGGATCTACGGACTACCGCAGAATGTATACACTTTACAGGATTTTTTATGAAAGACCTGATCCTCACATTGATTTAAATTTATTGTTACTAATGTTAAGGCTAAGTTCTAAGTTCTCTTGAAAAGAGTTTGCCCATAAGTATAATTTAATTATTAGATTTAACACCTTTGTAAGGTTATTGTTACTACAAAAGTTTAAAACTCAGTTTGTAAAGTGTATTTCAATGAAAAACACAACCGGACAGTTTACAACACCAAAAAGTTGAAGCACGTAAAAAGTGAAAGAAAAAGAGAACTTAAGCCAAGGAAACACATTTCAGTTAGAGAAAATTTTAATAAAGAAAATTATTGTTGTTGATCAAATCAAATCAATTTAAAGGAAACTAAAAACAAAACCAAAACTGAAACTGGAACTGAAATCGACTCGAAACGAAACGAATTGAATTGAATTAAATCCGTAGTAAAACAGCAACAAGAAGCAAAACATCATGTGATATCTATTTCAAAAATAAATCAATTGACAAACTAAAGAGAAGACCTTACCATACAGAAGCAGAATATAGTAAAATTAGCCTAAAGCCACGAAGCGTTCAGAATGCAGAGTTTCGAAGACGAAATCAATTATTTTATATTTTGTTATATAGTTTTTCGTTGAAGAGTTACGTAAGATCCCGATCCACAGATCCATTGAGTAAGAAACCACATCATCAGTAATATACGGCTCGACTTTGACTCTCTCCTTCTCGCTCCTGACCCGCATTATCAATATATCTTATTCTGTCATTAGTATTAGTCGCAATTCGGATTGTACGCGCATTTCCAAAATGTTCAACTCCTTGCTAACGTATTCCAGAAGGTTTTTATAAGCATATACATAAACGTATACATACTTCTTATACACTACCCTAGGCTAACGTTGAATAAATTATGAATGATTCGAACCGCACTTGCCATTCGTATTTACTGGGTCTATTTGGTCGCGTGGTTTGTGGACTGTCTATATATCTTTAAATACGGATACTGGATACGAAACAAACAAAAAATATGTGTCAACTTGCGTTGGTTCAAGTTTTATTGCTTCCATATAATTTTTGAGGAGATTTTATGTAATACACTTCAGGTAAGCACAGAATGAATAAATTCTTAAAGTTCTAAACACCACTACCAATTTACGTTTTCTGTGCCTACAAAGGCGGGATTATTTATTGGCTGTCTCCTCGTTTTCTGGTTGATTAAATTCTCCATTTGCGTTTGAGGGTCTTAACTTGTTATGATCATTAAGTAAAATGCGCTCCATCTTGCGTCTCATTTTAATCCAAGATATTGTGACATTGTTTTTTTTTCTTTTTGGTAAAAATATAATTCGATAGTTTTTTTTTTGCCTTTTTGCTTCTGGATTTTAAGCTGATCCCCTTTACTTTGCTACCTTTAATCGCTTTGTAATATAGTCTGATGACGGCATGTCTAAAGTTATAGTCCTGGAGTTCCGATTTCTTTGGTTGTTGGTTTTGAGGTCAAGTACCCACGTATTTCAAGTATTCAAGTACCCGTCTAAATATATTTGTGATCCGACTTCTGAATGTGACTGTTTTCTTCTGCAGATCCTACTTATTCTCGGTGATTATGCCCGCAGGACCGCACACGTACAGCTGCTGTTGGTCCCGATCCCTAAGGGGCTTGTAGCCCAGCTCGTCGGTGGGCACACCATACTGCTTGAGCTTGCACTCGTAGGTTTCCAGGAGATCGTCGTGGGCCTTCCGGGCCTTGGCCACCTCATAGCGCAGGTCGAGGATGATCTTGTTCTTCTCATCGATGATGTTGCCCACCCGTTCGTCCAAGGAGGTCAGCTTTTCGGCGAAATTGGGTGCGCATGTGGCGATCGTTTCGTGCAGGACAATGCTGCGCTTCTCATCCTCGCGCATCAAAGCGGCGATCTTGCGCTCCAGTAGGACATTCTTCAGTCCGGTCTTCTGCTGCAGCTCCACGATCACATCGTTGAAGCGCTCCTTGAGCCCCTCCCGTTCCGCCACCAGAGAGTCGTTTCGCAGGATCAGCGTTTCCGCCTCCCAGGTAAGACCCTTCACCTTCTTTTCCAGCCGTGTGTTGCGCGTCTTGAGGCGACTCAATTGCTGTTTATCCCGCTCGTAGAACTCCAATTTGCGGCGATACTCGTTCAACTGGATATTGGCGTGCTCCAAGGGCTCCTTCAGTCGCCGATTCTCGGCTGCCGTGTCCGCGGCGATTCGGTCAGATCTCTCCGCCTGTTTGCGCAGATGCTCCAGCTGCTCCTTCATGCTGCCAATCAGCGCCAGGTTGTTAAGCGTGATGTCGTTGTAGTAGTTCTTCATGTCGTTGAAGGCCAGATCGTGGTGGTCCTGCAGGTCCTTTATCTGCTGGTTCTTGCGCTCCTCCACCTCGAACATTTGGGTGCCGTAGAAGAGGTCCAGCTTGGCCTTCTGCTCGATCATCTTCTCCTCGTGGAGCATCTCGTTGTCCTTGCGCTCGCGTTCGAAGGTGATGCGCTGCTCTCTGTCGAAATGCGAAATCAATTACCTTTGATAGTTAAAATTTGGCATTTGGCTGTCAATCTGATGGTACCCACAGCAGCTTCTCGTTGAAGTGAGCCTCCATTTGGCGCAGCTGCATCTCGCTCATCTCCATTCTCTCGCGAAGCATCCGGCGCAACTGGCGCTTGTCCCTCTGAAGCTCGTTTTCCTGTAGAACATGGTGCTCCTGCGCCAACTTCAGTTGGGTCATCGCCTCAGCCCGAACCTCGCCGAGCCTGTTGTGGTTCTCGAACTGCAGATGCTTCATCTGCTGCATCACATGCTTGGTGTCGATATCCGCCAGATCCTGTGTGGCCTCGATCTCCTTGTCCTTCTGCTGCAACTCGTAGCGCGTCTCATCTGAGTAGGAAAAATAAGTAAAGGCAGGGAACATTCCTTGGTACTCACTCACCCAGCTGCTGGCGCGTGATCTCCCAAAAAGTGCGAATCTTATCCCGCTCCAACTGGAAGTAGTTACGCTCCTCCCGCTCCCGATCCATTTCTGCTTTTAGCCGGAGGGCAAAAGCCTCCAGCTGGTCGCGCGTCATCGCCGAGGTGTCCACGCCATCGATGAGCACTGGGAATGGATTGAAAACGTTTGCAGTCAGCAATATTCAGCCAAATATTCGATGTCATCCATCAATAAGATATGGAATGAAATTCCATATTAATAACACCCTTTAAAGCTAATTACCAAATGGATTCTTGAGTTGGTTATTTTCCAATATTGGGCTGGGAGTCAGTGAAAAGTTTGCTCCGCATATTGGGGCACCCCGCCCTTATGGCTATTTAATGAGAGCGGCACGCCTGGTTACCCTCTTCTTCCCATTTTTACCCCCTTTCGACATTTTTAGTCCTGCCGCGCCCCTTTCCTTAGCCACTGCCCGCATATGTGGCCCACAGCAGACCGTGTTGTAATTGTTTTCTGTAATTGGCATCGTTGGCCGGCTGGTGCCAGGACTCGGCCTAGGAAGGGCTACTAGGACCACCAGGACTAGCAGGAGACGAACTAGAAGCCACACCGAGGAAAATGCCCAAGGACATTGCATTCTAGTGCTCACTTCAAAGTTGCGGAGCGCGGTTAAACTACTTAACGAACGTGATACCTACACTTATCACTCATGAAAAACTATGATATAACTGGGAGTTTTCTTGTTTTCCACAAGACCAAGAGCGTTTTTCAGTGCATGCATAGAAACAATTATGTGCGTTAGATGTTCCAGAGAGCGGAGGAAGGTCGGTGGTCCGGGGTCGTGGGTCTGGGGAACTACAGTGTGCTCACTCGTGCAAATTAAGTGGACAGTTTGGCCCCCCTGTTTTCCCCTTTAAATTTTCGGGCTGCCAGGCTGCGCCGGAGCAACTGCATCGGAAATTTCTTGTCCTCGGGCGCTCCTTCCGCCACTTTGGCCCATGGGGCGCCTGCCTGCTTCTCTCCTCACGCAGATTATCGTTATTTACTAATTGTTTTGCTTGGCCTTTTTAAATTGCCCTGAATGACCAATGTCCGCCATTCCAGCTGCCCAGATATCCAACTACCCAGCTACCCAACTACCCAGCTACCCAGTGGAGGCACCCTGCTGCCATTAATGTTCCGAAAATGAATTGCCAGGCAGTCCTCGTCCATGTTCCGTTTGTCTACTCGTGGAGGCTCTTTAACAGCCGGTGTTCTTAAAGAGGACACTAAATGAATTTTGCCACAATTAACTGATGTGCTTCAATCAGTTAAGTTTATGAATTGATTAATCTATGCTGTATGCTATGGTGTATTTCACTTGAGCCTTACTTACCTGGCAATTTTTTGCCCTTTTTGCCCTTTTTCCCCTTTGGCGGCTGTAAGAAAATAATGAAATTATTAATTTGATTTTGAACTCAGACAGAACTAATACACATTTGAAGACAAATTATTTAATTCACTTAAAGGAACTGAACTGCGTAGAAACCTCGAGTTGAAGTCTGCCGCTGAACTTGCCCCAAAGAATTTCCACATTTGTCTATGCAAATTGAAAGAGTTCTCCCCTTTCAGGAGAATGGAAATGGGGACTGGCGCAATTGTCGTCTGCAGCTCGCCACTATTTTTCGCACTTTAAATCCTTTAACAACGTTTAATTCGATTCCCTTCACGTGGGAGAAAGGCAGCGAAAGGCGGAGAAAGGAGGAGAAAGGCGGAGAAAGCGGGCAACTGCCATCGTTGCTTTAAATAATGTGATGGCGCGGCTTTCAAAACAATTTCGCAACAGCTGTTGGCTGTTGGCTGCTGGCTTATTGCATATTTTATGACTGCAAATTATTCAAAAATTTTCGAAGCCGCCTGCGCCCGTCGCCGACCGCGCATTCGCATGTCCAAAGGCACCATATATATATATATATATATATATATGTAGCGGATGGAAAAAAGGCGGATATATGTTGGGGGCAGGTCTATACATAAACAAATGATCGAAAATAGACAACCAGCAGGAGTTGGAGAGTCGAAGGGCGCAAAGGACTCCAGCTTGACTGCTATAAATACACAGTGGAGCTAACTACGTTATCAGTGGGGATAACTACGAGTTCTCTGAAGCTTAGCCTTATCAAAAATAGGTTCCCCTATATATGCATTTATATAGGCAGGCAGTACTATTAGCTGTTTTGAAATGCGTAATGCCGACGTGGACATTTCGACCAGCAGGACAGCCCAGCCGAGGCTTCACTGTAGCCCACTCGCAAAGTGCAGTTTGTATATGCAGCAACAGCAACAGCCTGGCTTGGCATGAAAAATTGAATGCGCCGCTTGCAGTGCAACTGAAAAAATCTGTAAAAAGCTGAGACTAAAAGGAGCAGCGGCATGGAACCGGAAATCGGAAATCGGAAGGAGGCGGAAACTGCTGGCCAAGCAGTGCGGCCATAAGGCGGCCGAATGTGTGCACTGCTTTGTTAATGTGATTTAACAACTTATTGCTTACCATACTGCTGCCGGTGCTTCTTTCTTACGATTCCTCTGCTCAAAATGAGAACCACTTCGCTTTGACCTTTCCTGCCAACTGAGTCCTGACGTCTGATGTCCTGCCGTCCAGCAACCAAACAAACTTATCGATAAAGCAGTTGGCAATGTGTGCGTGTCGTGTTTGCGTCTGTGGGTATCGCCGGGCAACCGGAAGCCGAGTTTGAAGGTTGAAGCGCTGTCTTCCCTCGATTATTTTCTATGGCAGTGACAAATAGGTTTGATCTGGAAAAATTACAAATTTTGGGTAAGCGTTTGCAGTTATCAACTGGCTTACTAGGGGTGAGATTTTAGATGCCGAAAAACAGTGTAGTAATATATTCGAAACCGGCTATCATATTAGATATATTTCCAAATACGAAATACAGGTATACATTTACCAGCATAAGCTACATCTACTTTTGTTTAGTATCCGCGTACTTTAAATAGTGCCTGACATTAGTCTGCTGCCCGAGCCAGTGAAAAGCGAAAAGCCAGGCCAGACCAGACTCTTTCTCTTATCGCCGTCTGCTGTCGGCTTCCTATAAATGGTCTCTTGAATTTTCTCTGCCCCGTTTCCTCAATTTTCCACCCTGCACTTGGCCTCAGAATTTTCCCTGCATCTGTTTGTTTATTTGCCGTTTGTTGGGCGGACTTTAAATGCTGGTGGCACTGCAGTCTCTGCTCTTGACTACTGGCTAATTTGATGATTTCGTGAAATACGATATTATCAGGAAGCTGGCAGATCGTCGGCTCCTTTGAGCATTGCTTGATGGTCCTGAAAATCTCGCTCGAATCAACTTTATTAGTCCGTTGAATAACAGCACAGCACCTATGGCCTGGAAATTCCCCAGCAACTCCGCCACTTTCCCGCCTTAATTAATGTTGGCTAGGGGGCGGGGCTGGTTGGGTAAACAAAAGGCGGTGGGCTCTCTGGTTAAATGCTTTAATTGAAATTAATAACCGCAGCCAGTTTTGGCCAGTTGGCCAGTTGAGCAGTTGAGCAGTCAGTCGGCAGTTGAGACGAGTACCCCGTGGCTTTCGCATGGGAAAACATTTTGGGACCCGGCACACAGACACCGAGAATTTTCAATTGTTTTCATTAAAAGTCAATTTTTAATAGCAAAGATGCTGTGGCTGGCTTACAGATAGAAAAACGATTGTGTCCGCGAAAATGTTTTCACCCAAGACTTGAAGTTACAGCCTGACATCGAACCAAACTAACTAAACACATACGATAAAATTTGTAAATGGGGAAACATGATTTCTGTTTTGCAATATATGCTCTTAAATTACTTGATTTTTCCCCTGTGTAACTTCAACCCTTTTTAGACACTTCTCCATCTGCCCTGCATAATTTTTGTTTCATTTTATTCTCGCCAACGGCTGCGGTCGGTCATGGCCCATTGAGTTCCGTAACGGCTGCCAAGGGTTAAAGGGGCGGCAAAATGGGGAGCCGCTGAAAAAGCACTGATTGAAAGTGAAAGTATTTAAAATATGATTAGAAAATTTGCTTATCAGGGCCGAGGTGTGTGCGCTTTAAGGAGAATTCTTTAAGAAGCTAGAAATAGTAAATCAAATTAGTGTTCCCATTCTAAGGTCATAAATATAACACATTAGTCAATTAAATTGCGGAAACCAAAAATACATTGTTTTATTTATGTCTTTGCTGAACTCATCGAAATCATGGAACTTTATAATTTGGTAAGTTTTTCATCTACGCACTGATACAAATCCTTTGGAAAGCTTATATTCGTCTTCCAAACAGATAAAAAGATGTCGAAATAGCGTATTTATCACAATTGTCAACCTTGCTGCCATCCAAAAAATCATGTAAATGAAAGTGTGCAGCAAATTTCAAACAGCTGATAAACCTAATTATGTCTTGCTTAGATATGGTCGCGCCTCCGCAAATCTTCCTCACGCTCCAACCAACAATAAGGAAATCTCTTGTATATCGTGAGAAGGTCGTGACACGGCCCCAAGAACAATGCGACTCCCCATCTCTGATCTGCGTGTGATGGCAAAGTAACGGTTTGCTCCTTAGAGCTTCTTCCTGATTGGTCAACGGGCGCCTGAAAGCATGCAAGGGGTAGCCATAATGAAAAATAACAGCTGTTTTGATCAGTTCAGTGCTCGCAGCTGACACCTGCTGAGATTTCTGTTCGCCTGGTGTCTGAAATGAAAATCAAGCCAATTTGACTAACAAAATGATCCGGAAAAAAATCCGGACGGGTGAAATTTCCAAGAAATCGAAGAGATTTCCGATTTCAAATACCAGGCGAACAAAAATCCCAGTAGGTAGCTAACGATCAGTTTTTTCCTTTAAAATAGAGATGCTCGCGTGTCGCTGATTTTTTGTCACGCCCCCAACAACCACATGGGATATTATAATTATATCGTGACTGCCGTGAGAAACTCGTGAAGCACCACAAGAACAATGTGACTGCGCATCTCTGATCAGCGTATGATTGCAAAGTAACGGTTTGCTCCTTAGAGCTTCTTCCTGATTGGTCAACGGGCGCCTGAAAGCATGCAAGGGGCAGACATAATGAAAAATAACAGCTGTTTTGATCAGTTCAGTGCTCGCAGCTGACACCTGCTGAGATTTCTGTTCGCCTGGTGTCTGAAAAAAAATATACCAATTCAATTGTTCCTTATTTTCGAACAAACCCCATACTGCAAATATACTGCATAATAATAATAAATATAAAGCATACATTTGTTTATATTTGTATATTTATTATTTTCAATTTAATGTTTTTAGATCTTGCGTATTGATTTGATTATAATTGCGTCCTTCAGTCCATCCTTTTTAAGAAATTTGCAATTAGTTTAGTATTAGTACTTTCATTATGTCTGTAGCTCTGAAAAAAAGTTTGAAAAGATTTATGGATTTATATGAATGGTTTATCACATATTGTTTTCGTTGCAGAAGTCCAATAAATGTCAACGCAGTTGATGCAACTTGGGTGTGGAAGCTGGTGGGATTTTCCGGAGGGGCCGAGGAGTAGGCGGTAAATTAATGGGGAAGGAGGGCGGGCGAGATGGGGGGAGTGCAGTGCTCATTGCGGTGGCAAAAGTTATTTGCTGTGTTATTTTCACAACAACTTCCGCTCGGCGCAGAAACGGATATCCTGCCTCTGAGTGAGAGATTCAGATTTGTACAACTAAATATAGATAGGGATAGGATGAAGAAAAGTTGTTGGTGCAGCTGGTCGGAGTCGGAGGTCTTGTCTTGTCTGTTGTTAGCTGGAAAAACCCCTCGAACGTCTCTCGGCGTATGCAAAATTCTGCTTTTACAACTCCTAGGATCAAACTTTGACATGCGACCCAAACCCTGGCAATTTAAACTTTCTGATTAATTTTAATAAATATATTTTTGTCCTTTATTTGTAGAATTTGTTCGTTTACCATATAATATATATAATTTGTCTTGTATATATATGCTTGTTTATTTATTATATATAAGATATACTTTACTTTATGCGTTTACTGCTGGTTTATATAGAGCGGCTCTCAAATTTTTCAGGGGGATTATCAAGAGAACTTTGATTAAGCTTCAGTTTTTTTTTTTTTTGTTTTGTGTGAACGTCATTGATTGATCCTTAAATCCATCCTAAATACACATTACAGTTTATCCTCGTTGGCTATATACAGTTTATTTTAGCTTTAACTTTTCTTTACGAGCTGTCTTATATACAATTTTAGGCTTATGGGCTAATAGTAATGTAAAAGCAACGCAATGAAAAATTATTTATTACACATTTAAATGGATTTTAGCCACAACAAAACTATATACAGAATGTGAAAAGTCGAAAGATTCCAGGATTTTATAACATTTCCTCTAGTTTATCTTATTTATTTTCGTTCAGCATTTAGGTCTGCTAATAATGGCACATAATATTATTGTGTAATTCGATTTTTTTGATATAAGTACAGTACCATAAAGGGAGATATATCCCGCTTAGCATATGAACAACCTTTAATGGCTCTGATTCTTGTAGAGTCCATTTTAATAACTATGATTTGCATTAAATATAAGACCTTTTTTACAAAGTTCCAATACGAATTTAGCATTTGCTTTATACATAAACCAAAAGAACTGGTCATCTGCAGCTGTGTTCAAAAAAAAGAAATGTTTAAATAAATAGATGAATTGATCTAAGCTTTTAATGGCGTAGTTTTGAAAAATTATTGGGCATATCAATATGTTTAAGTAAGCCAAACAAACCATTGTAAATATAAACTAATTTACAAATATTTTCATTACTGTTAAAGAACTAATAGCGTTTTAATTAAACTTTTAATAATCTCAGAAGAATCGGACAAATCTATTAGGGCAATACTATTATTCGGAGCACAACGCTATGACCACTTAAATATATATACATATATGTATATAAAATGCGCAGGGGGTTGCTTAGATGTTGTGGCTAGATTTGATTTTATTGTTCTAGCGACAGCACAAAGCAGCTCTTAATTAAAATGCAACAAATGCACAAAGGATCCTGCAGCAGGACAACTGTTGCACAATGGGGCCGAGCAGGACTCGAATAAAATTTCAATTAAATCAATTCGAGCATGTGGCCAGAGGGGACCAGTGTCAAGTGTTCTAAAGGCCTGAGCACAGAGTGCTCGGTACTGAGAACTCAGTCCTTCGTTCTGCGTTCTTCGAGTGCTGCCCACACATACGAGCAACATGCAACTTGCAAGTTGCAACCAGCAACCAGCAACCTGAAGCAGTTGTAATTGAATTTCTGCTGCTGGAGTGGCTTGTTATCTCGTATTTGTTTAATTTTATTTCTCGCTCGGCCGCCCGGCAGTCATCACAAACTGATGAAAAGATACGACTGCAAGCCAAAAATTTGGTTCAAGCTGGGCTATTGGCTTTGGCCAAAACACGTAGAAAAAGGGTGGTCTAGAAACGTGATACAACAAACAAAGAAACGTATTGAATAGCCAACAGAAACCAACAGAACCAGTGGAAAATGTTCTCAAAAATAAATATTTTTATACTAAACTGTGAGCCGTCTTTGTGAGAGGGTTTCGATGGATTCATTTAAAAAA